CGCTCCGCCTGCACCAAGCGGCTGAGCAAATGCCGCCTGACAGCAGCCGTTTTACAATGCGTCCATAATATGGGTTGTTGTCCCCAAAAATGATATGAATTGATATGATAGATGGGTGGTTAGATCATTAATATGATATGAATTGGTCATATCATATCAGAAATCATATATGAAATCATATATCATCTGATCTATCCACCAATCTATCACTATCTAGCTATCTCTCTTATGTAACTATATCTGGTCTTTCGGGGGGGTTCTCCAGTTTCCGTTGCTGCGCCTTCTGCTCCTCCTGGAGCCTTTGCCGTTGCTGCGCCTGCGGCGCCATCGCGGCGGTCGCGCAACGACCCGGGGGTTCCATTCCTTTTAGTGGTACCAGGGTCATTCATTTTAGAGAGGGATACCCTCTGGTAAACTAACATAACTATGGAAAATCACCATTTTTGATGGGTAAATCCACTACAAATTGCCATGTTCAATAGCTATGTTAGTTCACCAGAGGGTAATCAAGTGGAATAAAGAACTTAAGATGAGTATGATGAGTGAGAAAGAACAAGGCTGGTGCGAATACCATCATGTTGAGTGGGGCCCCCACTCAAACCAACATGAGATGTGGTTCTTTGAAGCTCACAGCAAAGCTCCTGTTTCTCTTGAAATCTGCGATCTGCTGAGAATGATGATGATGATGATGATGATGATGATGATGTTGCTGCTGCTGCTGGTGCTGGTGGTTTGACAGCAGAAGATGGAGCATCCTGAAGAATCCCTATTGCAGAAAAGACCAAGAAAACATCTATGTTTCGGACCCTCCTCGCCCTGAAATGAATGATGGGATCAGTTCTGCACTGACTGACCCCAATTGCAGAAATGCTGTGCTTGCAGATCATGACTTACTTGAAAAAATCATTTCGCATGTCTTTGTGGCTGAACCTCAAAATCGATTGTCGTTGTAAATCAGCCTAGCAATGGACAATATTAAGATCATTGTCCTCCATATGTGCTATTAAAGTCCTTAGAATTCAAGTTTTCCTGTGAAAAAATATTGCAATATGTTGGACAGATTGGACAGGGGGAGGTTGCCCAAACATCTTGTTTTTGCACGCAGACATGTCGACCTCATTGTTGCCTCTTGATCGTTGTGGGGGGGGGGCAATAATGTGTCTATTTGCTTTTTCCTGTAAGTACGTCTTGTCTACGTTGTAATATGCACTATGCTCTCATGTCTTACATATACTACGTCACAACGTCTTATACATGTCTCACATATACTACGTCATAACGTCTTACATGTACTTTAACATATACCATAACGCCTTACATGCATCTTAACGTTTACTACGTCATAACCTCTTACATGTATTTTAACGTTTACTAGGTCATAACTTCTGGGTTGCCTATCGATTCCGCACACATCGATGGGTTGTCGGCCTTGTTTATTCATGAACACCCAGGGATTGAAATCATGGAAGCCTTTATGCGCTACATGGCTTTTGTCAAAGACAAAAATCATCCCAGCAAGACCTATGTAGATATAACTTGGTTCACTGAAAACAGACGCAATTGAGAACAAAAAAGAGTCGCGACCCGAGGCCCTGTAAGGGTTGTTTTCAACATGTATTTTTATAAAAAGAACGTATATAAGTTGACTTGATGTACAATTTGATAAACATCTTTCACCATCACAGATCACAGCATCAATGAAGAACGATGCGAACTTAGAAAATAGGCTTGCCACCACAGCGAAACGCATATTTTTGAATAAAACACTTCTCTACATCCTAACGAACTCATTGATGAACACGTTGGAGCTCATCAAGAAGGCGCTGAGATTTGAGCAACCCCCACAGAGTTGCTCCCAACTCCCCAGATTAGGGCAATTGAATGGTTGGATAAAGAGGAGAAGTATATGGTAAAGTTTCTGGTAGAGTTATATTTAAAAATGATACCATATTTAAACATGTAAGATGATATATCAATATATATTATGCAGTTATATCATGAAAACAACACATAGTGTCTTAGTGTGTATTGTAAAGTTCTCACCAGGTGAACGTTCGAAACACCGGAGACGCCCCGTTTTCGTTTTCGGCCACCCTTAAGGCGCCATGGCGTTGTTGGAGCCGGTGCTTCTTGGCAGCACGGTCCAACTCATCGTCCATGATGCGAATCCCTACAGTTTTTTTTGGGGTGTCATTCATGACTTAATATGGCTTTGATATGGTTTATTGATGTGGTTTATTGATATGGGATGATATAGGAATCTAGGGCTACGATTTCATGTGGCTCAATTCCTCTAGAAACTCTATGTTGTGTCACTATATCTATCAATTATCAATAGTTTGGGGGGTGATAATGGTTAAACTGCCATCGTGAACTGGGAATATATGGGGTCATATAGCTAATGCAAATGTGATATGAAATACCCCCCCATGTGGAAGCCCAAAATGAATAGATCCGCAGGGTTTCAATTGAGGGTATCTAATGTCAGGAGCATGGAATCAATTGTGGTGAAACATCTGCATTCCATGCATGGAAAACTTATGGCAACGTGCACTGACCTGTGAAAGTCTCCATGTGTATACTGGGTCTATGCTGCACTGTATATGAAGGGATGCTATTCGATAGCCAACAGAGATGACAAGCGAAATGCCAATCCATTGTGTGAAGTACGGCATATACCTGATTATAAATTGTGATACCCTCTGGTAAACTAACATAGCTATTGAAAATGGCCATTTATAGTGAGTTTTCCCATTAAAAATAGTGATTTTCCATAGCTATGTTAAATTACCAGAGGGTATTGTCTATAGTTAGCATCCGACCATCAGTTGTCATTTGGTGGGTGAACCCGCCATTGAAAAATGTTCACTTCCTTCAGAAAGAGGGGTCAGAAACTTTCGCATCACCACTTCACCAACGCCTTGCAAGATATCTTCACCTGGGTTTTGCCTTTACAAACAGCTGAAGTCCCTCCAGAGAATGATCGACTTAAGTATCACCATGAAATAGTTTGACTGCTGAAGGCACATACTACAATCGACAAGTCTAGGTATGTCCACCTGATTTTGCAACCGAGTCTATTCACGTATTTTATCTTATTTCCCTGTCCCTGAAAGCATCAACAAATTGATTTTCGGGAAACAAATTGGAGGAAACAATGGTTTTCACCTCTATGCGAACAGAATGATTCTCTGCCTCCTCGATGGAAGAAAGAAGTGCAAAACAGAAACTCAGAAGCGGACATGGCTGCCTGACCAATGTGCGTAGATATCAAATGTTCAGATATTAGCCATCTTACTGTATTATGACTACTTACTCTATCTGAAAATGATCATATGTAAATATATCGCTATATATATATATATATATATATATATTTATATATATATGATTATATATGCTATTATACTATAGATGACTATAGTTTACATGCAGTAGATTCCCTGGAAGCATATTTGTGTTTCCACACTCAGGACCTGCACCGGGTCCCGAATTCCAGCAGCAAGTGCATTGCAGCTGTTGTTTTGTTTGATGATGTTTGATGCATACGCATACCGTACTCATATTATGAGCATGTACACGCTTCTGGTTGGTGTTTTACATTATCTTTCCAATGATTTCTCCGATTTGATTCTCCCAGAAGTGGCTCAAGTCATCCGTACATCACCCGCCGGCAGCAATCTTTTCACGCTCGAACTACGTCATCTTGCAGCTGACCTCCTCCTTTGGGGGATTGCTGTTCAGCCGCGTTTTCACCATAAAGGCCTCCACAACCCTAGGTCGCATGCAACTGGTCGCAGGCAGATTTGCACACCTGGGACCCTTGGTATCCTTGGTGCACAGGTCGTCAAACTTGGGGTTTCCCAAATGATCTGCAGAATGTCGTAGAAAATCACGATGATATCACCACGTTTCTTCCTTGGGTCAGGTGACCCCGGGCTACCCCTGACTGCACCGACCCCCAGACAGCTCGGCAAAAGCCACAGCTCTCAGGTACCAAATTCGTCAAAAAAACCGCCGCGGCAGACGGGCGCTTCACGCGGCTCCGCGCGGCTTGTGGACTGACTTAGTCCAGGTCACTTCCAGCAGGGGACATTAGAATCGCGTCTAACGGCCAGCTGGAAGGGACGAAAAAAAACAGGGCACCACATTTTCGGTCAGGTGTTTCTTGCAGTTCTCAAGACAGGTTTCATGGATTCATTGGTTGGGATGGGTTGGGAGGATAGTGGCCACATAATATGCTAGAAATCCTTCCCGCTGAAAAGAGGGAGGTCTTCTTCCACTCCAAGCTACACCATTTTGTTAAAAAAAATGTGTTTTCCACAATTGAACCACAATAGACAATGTATCGCTGCTACCGATCCCTTTGAGAGAAGCTGAGAGAACACACACAGTTTTGTTTGTTGGTGGCTCATCATGATAACTATGTAAGAGTGGTTTCCTGATAGCTATATAGATAAGAGTAACTTCTTTACTGGGCGGTCTGCTTCAGGACAAAAGGAATTCATTATATATCTGACTTTAAAATAGTTTAAGTGCTGCAAAGGTAATGAACATTTATATAATATCATTTAATTTCAACAAAACAAGCAACACAAACACCACAAACAACACCAATATAAAAATCACCAGCACAAACAACAACAACAACAACAACAACAACAACAACAACAACAACCACAACGACCACGACCACGACCACGACCACGACCACGACCACGACCACGACCACGACAACGACAACGACAACGACAACGACAACGACAACGACAACGACAGCAGCAACAACATCTACTTCCACCTATTACTACTACTACTACTACTACTACTACTACTACTACTACTACTACTACTACTACTACTACTACTACTACTACTACTACTACTACTATAGCAACAGCAACAGCAACAGCAACATATATAAATCAAAGATAGACATGTGTCGAAACATAGTATCACGCATTTATGAATGTGTTTGTATAGATGCTTACAGTATTACAGGAACCAGTAAAATTTAACCAGCTTCGGGAGTCCGCAGAAGCAACCAGAGAGAACTGCTGCAGAAGCCCTTTGTGCATTCTTCGTTCGGAACCACTGAACGAGTGAAACATGCTCTCTCGATGTTATCGCCTCAGCACTGAAGAATTGGCACTGTCACTGGGAAAGTCGCCAATGATGTTCCAATGTCGCCAGCTAAATTTAATGCTTTTTAATGCACAAGAAAACACGGCACTGGTCACATCTGGAATTGATTGTACATTCATGTCTGGTGTGGTCTCAAAATATCTCTGATACTTCAACCATGGAAGCCATAAAAATTGGGAACGCGGGCAGTATGAGTAGCAGAAGGGCTGCAATGAGAACGACCTGAGAGCACCCGGTCCCTTGGCTGAGAGTTTCGGGTCAATGTATCAGGCCATGTTAGTCCCGTCCCATACCCTCTATTGTGAATGGTGAAATGATCCACAGCCGTGAATGAAATCCTCTACAAGAGTGATGTAACAGTTGCAAATTAATAAGTTATCTTAAAGGCTGTGGCCATTGCTCATGAGGTAAGGGCATTGAGACTTTAGTCATCTAAGACTTGAGTCTGCATCTGTGAATTTTGAACTTGTAAAGACGATTCAACATCTTCCATTTCCTACTTCTGCAGTTACACCCCCTCGCCAATTGTGCCTCCAATTTGTGCTCATCAATGGTCCGTTGAGAAAAAACCATAAGCGCACAACCAAACACACACATCAAACATTATGATTTGAGGACTCCAAACTAATGTACACACTCCTATAGGGTCTATGAGGGAACATCGAACTTTGATTTCATAAACCTAACCTATATCAAACTTGAACCTCTGAGACTGAACAATTGCCCAAGGTGGGGGCAGGTTTTAGAACCTGCAAGCTGGGAATAAAGTGACATTCCACAATGGCTTGTTGTTGTTTTCCAACGAACACCAAACATATGATATAGATATATATATATACATAATTTAATATTGTGTATATATATATGTACATAAATCATATGTATAGTAATAATTATACCACTATACTTATCTGCATCATTGTTATGATCATTAAACTGGGACAAACTTCCCAACTAGCTTTGGAGTGCCCCAGGAAACGAAGGTTTCCACCTATTAGCAGCCCAGAAAACGCAGGAGTCTAGCCAGCTCACAATTCTGGTGACTCCTTCCACCGTAATTACTACCCCTATGTTGCTACAATCCCTATGATTGTGTACCAGTTACTGTAGTGTTATATATATATATCATTCTTCTTATCCAACTACTTGGGGATAGAAACTCAGTTGCAAGATATTAAACGCTTGAAACATTTCCCCCATTAAAAACACGTCCCGTATGGAATACTGTACCCCAGGGGGGGCCCATTCATGGGGCCCCAATGGGGCCCCATCACCGGGACTCAGGATCCCAACCCCCGCCGTGCTCCCTCGGCTTTCTCTGTCCATGTTTGGCGGTCTGATTGCCTGCGTTTCGCTACGTGGCGACTGTCATGTTGGGTAGTGAAAAACCCATCAATTTGGAGGCTGTTTAGTATTGTACCCATACCTAGTCAAATAAGATTTTCATCAGGATAACAGATTGTGGTTTCAACCTGAAAGACTTCTATAATTAGTCAGGCGATCTAAGCCAACCGGCACCACAACTCTTGACTATATTTGGTATATATATGTCAATATCATTTCTGGAGTAAGTATCCAATACCCTCTAGTAATTTAACGAAATGAACTGGAAAATCATCATGTTTTAATAGGCAAATCATCAAATGATCTAAACATGAACCCTTTTCCATAGCTATGTTGAATATCCACAGAGTATTTGACCCATCTCCAACCACCTCTGGCGGCAACTCGTAGAGAGAGAAGCCGGCAATGGGGAAACTGACGATGATATACCTGCGACAACCCTATGTTGGGAAGTTTCATGTGGATATTTGATAGCGATTGGATACAGATACAATTAAAACTAATAGTATTTCCTTGATTTTGGTTTGGGAATCCAGGAAAGATGGGATTACTAATTTCTTCCCTTCTCTGGGACGGGCCGAACGAGTTGAACAAGAACATGTTACGATAATTACTGCCTATCATTATTTTGTAATACGTATTACATTGTATATACCAGTATATATTATGTGTATATACTAATATACGTGTGCATATATACATATATATATATATTGTGTATATACTATATTAAATATTATATATATTGTACATATATATATATATACATATGCGGGATATCTATACATATATATATATTATATTATGTACATCGTTTCACAATCTCCTCGATGTGAGACCCGTGCAAAGTAAATCCGGAAGGTTCGGGATGGCTCCAGTCCAAAGATATTTTAGTATTGATTTTGTATCCTCGAAGTTTTCCGTTCGTGGGATGAAACATGTTTGGATGTACAATGTTCGGCTTCGTTCCGCAAGCGGCTAGTTATTTGACATATGTTGGCCATGTTTCAAGTCCCGAATCCTGCACCCACGTCATGAACTTGGAATACCCACGTGAAAATTTTGAACAGGGCAAATCCTGCAGAAAGTAATCAGAAAGTAGATGGTTTATTTTAGGTTACTTATAAACTTATTATCATCTACACTCATTGATTCGTCTTCGCGAACTGGGAAAAAAAACGACAAAATGATTTGGGAGATGGTTGCTGTCCACCCCCTGTCTTCTCAAGACAAGGATGGTTTCCGCACCCGCGGATCATGTTTATTTTTGAGGAGAAACATCAAAAATCCAAAGAATTGATTTGTCTGAACATAGAATCTGAATGTATCCCTGAAATCCCATGGTTTATTTCAAATTATAAAACAAAATGGGGGTTGTTCACCCCATTTACAGACGCACTCCGTTTTGAACATCTGTGGCGGGACAACGGAGCCTATCATCTGGCTGCTGACAATCTCTGTCATTACACCTGTCGTGGCATGTCGTGGCACTGGTCGAAGGCAACCGAGGGGCCCTGCAAGCTTCGTTAACCCATGGATCTGTGGATGAAAACCAAGATGGACTCAGACAGGTGATAGATGTATCTTAGTTTCATGCGTGCGCAAACACTGAATCCTTGCAAAATATATTACGATATATTACGACACATATACCTTGCGACGATACAGTTTCAAGTTCAAGTTATGAAGCAAATGAAAGGTGTACTTCGCAGTCTGGTGACAAAACCAGTTGGACACATCCACAATCTCGCCATGATTTCATGGTCAAGGGACCAAGTAGTTTACCTGCAACATTGTGCAACCCCAAACCTCAGCTGAGGAAAACAACATATTTTATATAAGACTTTTAATATGTCTGTATGTATCTATATAGCTACATACCATTTCCCAGCAAAGCTGCAAAAACCAGAACAATAATGAAGAATACTGGTCTTCAAGCCCCACATGGAGGGTTGACCTCCCCAATAGTTCAGAAGTAGCTCATCACATTGCCATGTTCGTTCGGGCTAGTGAAACTATGAACCCCCATGGATGTCGCCTTAAATCCACTGGTGAAAACAATGAACTGTTCCCTTTGAAAGGGTCATTTTGAAGTGGTATACCCCGTCAGAAACATCCTGGTCAGCCCTGGTAGCTCAGGGCCCAACAACGAAATCGACCAGTAGTTGCTATTTGGCCTTAGCCACAGCAACGAACAACCGCGGAAGATGCGGCTCTTCGGCGGTAACGCGGGGAAATCGGAGGTTTGATACTTCTCGAAGGGTGGATGTTTGGGACATCTATAATCAAATATGAGATAATGAAACGCATACTGTAATATGATAATCATTGATGACACATGATTAGTCATGACTCAGTGATTCGTGATGCATCGAATTATACCAAACACACATTCGAAGTCTATGTATATATATATATATTTATACATACACATATCTACATATATATATATATATATTTATTTATTTATATTTATATTTATATTATATACATGTATATATATATTACATATTATAAGTACAACACACCCTTGCGTGTACAATAGTTATGCAACTGTACATTTGGTCATGCCAACCCATGGCGGATGGTGAAACCACATGGCATAACTTCTGGACTCCATGGATCACCAATCAACAGGTTTCAGCATGTTTCAGCCAGGCCTTTGACGTAACTTCTCTGAGTGTCCCAACATACTGGGAGGAACGAGGACAGGAAATTTGAACCTGCAGCTGAGCTTGTCCAAAACCAAACAAAAACGCAATTGATAAAGATGCCTAAATTCCTTTGCGACTTGTTATTTAGCAAGTATCTTTTGCTGAATCAATTGCTTTATAAATATCAATGATTCAGTTGGGTTAATATCAATGTATTATCAATCGAAAATGGCGGGCAATGTCAATGTACTATAATTTACTATAATATCAATGATTATAAATATTATTTATCAACATGCTGCAACCTTGGCGATGTCTCCTATGCAAGATCTGCGCAGCCCGTCTTTCTTGGATTAGAATCCTGCACTGCTTGGCCTCTATCAAGTAATCCCATCCCCCGTTCATATTAAACACCCCCGAAATGAATCTAAATGGTCCCAATTATGTGGAAATTCCCTACTAAACTATGATTTTGGTTTGGGGGTGTTTGATATTAGGGGGAAGGGATTAGACAGTGTTCATCCCAACTTTTAAAAGTTACCTCCAATTGGATTTCAAGCCTGCCTAGATTTCAAAGATGAGACGGGTTTGTGCAAAAACACTACAGCGTTTTCAGCTAGGTCATAGCATGGGAATGGTCAGTTATCCCCCGCAATCATCCCAATAGTATGGTCATGGTCATGGTTAAGTCGAGAAACCAATGGTTTTTTTCAGGGTCTCCAATGTCTCTTTTCTTGCCTGGGGTACTTGCTAGATTTACTAGAATTAACCAGAATCAACCAGTCTCAGCCATTTGCTTGGGGGTGCATCCATCCCACGTAGTAAATAGCTTATACCCCCTTTTATATATGGAATATCCATGAATATCCCCAGTTATACATATACATAGGATTATATGGGTTATATATGGTTATATTATATATATACCCTCTGGTTATTTAACATAGCCATGGAAAATGGGCCATTTATAGATGGTTTACCTATTAAAAATGGTGATTTTCCATAGTTATGTTAGTCATAACCAGAGGGTATATATGGGTATGGTTCAAAATTGGGTGCCCAAATACTTGGATATAAACCACTGGTATATGTTAAACAGATGGTATATGGATTATAAACCACTTACTAAGTGGGATGCACATCCCTGCGTGGTTGGGTCCCTGGGATCCCCCTGGGTCCCCGGACCTATACACCCCTGGATCGATATCCACACCACCGCCACTGTCGTCCAGGGCGATCTTGATCCGGTCAGTGTACTGAGTATCTGCCTGGGCGTTGGGCGTTTCATCAACAAGAATGACCATATACATGATCAATCAATGTCAATCATGTTATAATATGTTATAATCATGAAAAATTTTATGATTCATGAAGATCACTAATAATAATGATCAATGAAGATCAATAATACTAATACTATAAGAAACAAACCAACCAATATATTATTATACATTGATATACTGTGAATGATACAGCCCAACAAAAAAGCGGGGGTCTGTGGGCAGGAATATTTCAGGAGTCACAAAACCCACGGCCATGGTTTGGATATGTCACCATTCGGGGCACACTCAAATAGATTCATGTCGTCTGCAAATATGGAAGGAACTGAAGTAAGTGTGCTACTCCACAGCCATCAAGCTCGTGCTAAACTCCCTGAACATGGTAGAACCCCCCCAAAGAACACATCGTTTCTGAGTTGAGTTTGATTATTTCAATTTATTTCACGTATGTTTACCACTTCAAACCTATATACCCTCTGGTTATTTAAGATAGCCATGGAAAATCACCATTTTTAATAGGTAAACCATCTATAAATGGGCTATTTTCCACGGCTATGTTAAATAACCAGATGGTACATGTTGGTGAATCTTAGCCCAAAAAAATGGCTGGTTCAATCCCCAACGGACAGCCGAGCAGCCCAATCTGATCCGGCGGCGACACGGAAATCCCTGGGCGGCCACTGGATCGAGGTCAACTTGGACATCTGGGAATTTCTTTTGATGTGGTTTCACCCAATAGTGAAGCACCAATATTAGTTGGTCAATACCAAACATTTATAAATTGCAAAGATTGGGATGGTTGATTCTGTTTATGGTTTACCGCCATTCTTGGGGATAATTCATGACAATTCCATACAATTCCCCTATCATCTATCTATGGTGATGTCGTTGATGTCGTTGATATGGAGATTTCGAACCCAGGCACCAAAGACGAAAAGCCAATGGTTTCATGATGGAGTGTGACACAGCGCAACCATGAGGTGTACCAGTGAATTTGGCTTCAAAAAACCAACAAACAATAAGATCAATAAGAGACTATCAAAACGACTAGTCATGTGTTTCTGATCCCCAAAAAAGGAATGACTTTGAGTGACCAGTCTCCGCATGTCCGCATCAGAGCTCCAAATCTTAAAATCCACACTCAGTGTGGGTAAATATGTTCTCTGGTTACATCATGTTACGTTGGACGTTCACATGTTGCGTTCACATATTACATTCCAATTCCTGCTGTCGAATCTGTCCATGCTCTGGATAATTAATGTCTCCTATATTTCCATCAAATAACCGCCAAGTTGCTTGTTCATGTTCTGCACGTCCGTGGGAGTCTGGACGTCATGAATAAAGGTCTCCGGCAACATGATCAGCACGGCCTGCATTATCTCCCAAACGGCTCGTGAAATGCGGCGGTTTTCACAGTTTTCCTCAATGAAAATTATGAGTTTTAGTAATGCAGCTATTGTAGAAACTGATAATGATAAGGCAAGCAAAACATCTAAACTTTTAGACGATTATTTGTAGAGAACAACTTTCAGCAACTAACTAGCTTTGATCAAACATTTCTGAATGATTTGATGATGTTTTCCCGACCCCCTGAAAACGGGGGAAACATCTGCACACCCCACCAGTGTCAGCTTTGTGGGGCTCAATATCGGATCATCTTTGGCAAATTTGGGGTGACACAGTTCCATCACTTCATAGCTACATCTGATAGCCATGGACACTGACCCATTTGCAGATATAAAAAATGGTGATTTTCCATGGCTATGTTAAATAACCAGATGGTATAACCTATTTTTAATGATCATTTCCATGGCCATTTTCCATGGTTGTGAAAATTACCATAGGGTAGCTATTTTCGACCAGAATCCTTTCTTGCTTTGCCGGTTCAACTCCATGTTTTGCAAGTAAAAGCACCGTTTCTTTTTGCCAAATAAGCATCAATTCATTTCAATCCCGAACTCTCTTGGGTAAATATCCTGCAAAACCAATATAGAATAGAGAGACAAAAATCCACACTATGTGTAATTATATATAAGTAAGCCATATATACAATATACAATAGTATATATCATTATATGTATATATATATATATTTATTTATCAATGTATATATATATATATATGTCCATATATTATATATTATCTAATTTATATATATATATGTAATCATATATACATATAATATACATATAATATACATATTATAGAGTATTATTATATCCCTGATATCATAATATATTTGTCACTGGATTGATGGCCCACGGTGGCTCGCCTTGACACCTGAGGTGGTCAAGGTAAATTCCAAGCCGATCCTCGGGTTCGGTTCGTCGCTTGGTCAGAGTTCACCGATATCGTTGATATATTGGAATTGTTGAATATAGTGATTGAACGAATAGTGATTTAGTGATTCGTTGATTGATGTATATTGTATATATATATAGCTGATATAGTTCGGTTATCGTTGATGAAAAATAATCTGAGAGATTTGTATACTATCAACGAGCTGATTGTAAGATTGTCCAATGATAATTCACTGATTATGGAAAATCATCTGAGAGATTGGAAGATTGTGCAATTTTACCAGACTTACCCATACCAATAAGTATTTTCAATTATCTTTAAACATACATCACTTGAGTGATTTTGTAGTGGTAAATGTGGGCTCCTATTATTTACCATCCCTGGATGATCTGGCTCATTTCATGGGGATTCACCGGGAGACCGCCAAACAGCAAGGCTTCGTTCTGTGGTTCTGTTCCTATTGAAGCAACCAGTGGCACCTGAAACAGTGGGACTAGCTGGACTAGCTCGTCGCCTCAATGTACAAGCCACAGATCCATAGTACATCCATAAAAGCTATGACAGACCCCAATCTTTGCATGGATACCCTCTGGTAATTTAACATAGCTATTGAAAACTGCCATTTATAGTGGATTTACCCAAAAAAAATGGTGGATCTTTCCATAGTTTTTTGTATGTTTACCAGAGGGTAACCCACAGAAAAACCTCGATTTTTGCTGTATCCCACCCCACTGCGGCCCATGGAAAGTCCGATGGCTTCACCCATAAGTGCGGCCCAAACAAACTGATGGATCGCTGATCTTTGCATGGTGAAGTCTCTCCCGGAGAAGTCGCATGTACATATTTCAACGATATGTGTATATATATATATGTATGTATGTCTATATATATATATATCCAGTAATGGATTGTATATACCCAGAAATTGCATATATATATCTTAATATCTTAACAACCGGTTTCAGATGGGCCCGTGGCGTAAGCCGAGCCACGTCACGTCCGTCCTTTGTCCTGGCTCCGATTGAGTCCTGGCACCGTACACCGAGCTGTTCGAATAAGGAGTTAATGGGATTTAATGGTGATTTAATGGTGATTTGATGGGATTTAATGGGATTTAATGGGATTTAATGGGATTTAATGGAAAGTTGATGAGACTCAAAACGCTATATTTTCGAGGTCATCAAACATGGCGCTTGAATCGCTTGAAAATCCCAACAATCAAGGTTAATAGCTTTGAAAATCAGCTATAATCAAATGGTGAATTTTCCAGCAAACCATGTTTGATTCCCAGGTAATCATCTAACTTTGATGCAATTTTCAACAGAATTGGGTAGTTTCAATCCATCCCAAACTTGATTTGCCGGAATTTTGGTTTGACCATTTTGTGACCATGAACCACTCCAAAAATATGTGCATGCTGCATGGCCCATGATTGACCCCTAATGTTTGTTTGCAGGTCATGAGTCATGAGATGAAAACAAAAATCCATGTTACTGGTCTATAAGCCTGAAGGTCTCAAACCAATTGTCACAGTGATCATTGCTTCTACCACACACACTAGTACTATCCATCCATGTCTTAATTTCAAGGTTTATTCCAGCAAATCATCTTGTATCTATATCCTCCAGTTTCTTCGTCAGCTACAGCCTACCAAAGACACCCAAAGATAATATGAGACAATATGCATCAGGATTTAATCCGAATCCAAGATCATCAAAATCCCAGCTGTAAAAAAGGAAACATCCTCATCTCTATCTACCCTCTGGTAATTTAACATAGCTATTGAAAATGGCCATTTATAGTGAGTTTCCCAGTAAAAATGGTGATTTTCCATAGCTATGTTAAATTACCAGAGGGTAGATGATATTCCTGTGTAAAAAAGCCATGGACTTGATGGGATTCAAATCCTGCCAGGCTGCCACCTTTGACAAAAACACATGTCTTGAGGCACCAGAACAGGTATGGCCGCGTCACTGGGATTGCCACAATGGGCTTACCCTGAATGGAGTACCTAGCATGACCGACGAAAAGGGGGTGCTTACTGCAAGTGCAAACAAATGAGAGCATGTAAGTATAGTCTCTGTGTGTGTGTAAAATTGCTTTGCACATACATGCTGTATATGCTGTATATATAATCACACACTTATGTATGTATGTGGTATGCAATATGTGTGAACGAAACGAAAACATATCGATAGACATCTATGGTGTATATATATATATCGATATATTATATGCATATATATAATATTGTAGGACAATGAATGGTATATATATATATACATATATCATATATAATGCCCGAAATAGTGTTGAACTATGTTGAAATAGTGTGGGTATAGCATGGAACTTGTATCAAATTGTCAAAGGTCCGGAGTGATAGAAAATACTGTATGATTACGTTTCACACGGGTCGAGTAATTAAACACATTGCCAGAACATGCCAGCCAGAACCAAAACGTTCGGAATCCTGACATGAAAACTATGACTCAATGACCTAAAATGTTTACCGTTTACCGCTTTGACTTGTGGTCTGCCAACTGGTGCAGGATTTCGCAACCATCCACTGTAGTTTTAGCTGCAGAAGTAGAGAAATGGAGATAATTTAAGATAATAGAACTGATATCAGCAAGACTCAAACTGTCACCAGCCATTCTATACTTCTGGCAGCGGCTTCGGCTGTCAGATTTGCAGGGTTGTTGTGGTTTCCGGGGGGTTGAAACCATCCAACTGACAATATCTTGACCGGACAACAAAAGCTACGGCAGCCCCCTCAACAGAATGTGCGAGCAGCAGATGGTAGGCCTAGAAAGTATTGAAGTGTCACAAAGCACAGTTTGTAACGTACTCTCTTAATCTAGCCGGTTGCGTGACTATAGACATGCATCCCCTAAAAAAATCTCATTTTTTACAGCGGTTCATAAGAATCCCAATGTCCCAAGAGTTACCAACTGGTGCAGGATTTCGCAACCATCCACAATATCATGTCATCTCAAATCATGGCTGTTGCCGCTTGACGTTGTCCCCAAGAAAAGTGATACCTTGCTGCAAGAAATGCAACCGACCAAACATCCAGGTTTGACATCACCAAAAAGGACATGATGACTATGCATTGAGTATGGGAAACCGTGGCATTTTGATGCATTTTGGGCTACTCTTTGTACTCTTGAAAGCGACAAAAACATACCAAAAATACTTTGACATCTCCCTACTGGTCCAACGCCCAATCCGGTGCACGCGGCATCTACCACATTGTTGTCCTGCAAGAATGCAGCTGCTTTGGCACTTCAACGAGAAACATACCCTCCTGAAAATACCAAAAAAACATCCAAAGCACATTGGTGTGTCATATGCTGTCCTATTCAAATGGCCATTCTGGGCTATTCAAATGAACAAATGCAGGCCATTTATTAACAAAAACGCTTTTTTCGGCCTGGAATGATTGAAACAAATGAAAGTTCAGAAGTACTACAAACTACAAACATGTACAGATGCTCATAGAAATATAAGATAATAAAAGACATTATAAGACATGGCCAAGCTCCGAAGGATAAAGCCCGGAAGTGTCCAAAAAACGTTTAGTAATGTTTGGTACACAGAGCTGTGGCGGCCGCAATTTGCGATGGCTCCGCAATTGGACTGGTCACTTCAAATTCCAAACGCCATTTTTGGGGGTACCAAAGTTGACCAAATCTGAAGCAGATCTGATCCGTGGTTCCGGAATCACTGGATAGACTGCAACCCTTCAAAATCTACTTTTTACCCCTGGTTAGTTGTCATCTAAATCAAGGCATCTGTTCATCTTTCCCTTTATCATCAACCCTCACAGCCCATGCCCACAGCCCCTGCCCATGCCCTGTCCAGATCTCTGATGATAATGCTAAAGGTATTGGCCTTGTCACAGCTCATAGCCAGACCGCATCAACCAGCAAAATCATCAGAGATTCGATTCAACGAAGCTGACGGTTGAAGCGCTTGGGCAAGGTACATCTGGTGTTTCAGGAGGCAAATCCACTAACAAAGCAAAGGCCTCGGAAGCACAGCTTGAGGTTGAGATCATGGGCATATCTGCACCCTCCGCGAGATCTAGATATATAATGATATATAATCGTGATTAATTGGATATATAATGGGGAGGTACAGTATAATATCTAATACGGGGCATCGCACAGAATTCGATCATTTTGACTTAGTTTGCAAATACTGTCATTGAATTTGATGATTTTGGCATCAATCTGGTGGACAGTGTGCTTCTCACTGTGTTTTTTTTGCAAGGTTGCTGCGTGGAACAAACTAATTCAAAGCATTGCCACAGTATCCCAGTCTCTATATGAACAGCTGGGATATACCTTCCCTAACAACTGGACAGTTGTTAAAATTCCAATCCAGTGGTGATATGTTTGGTTCATCCACAAACATGGGCTCCACCAATCCCATGTTCTCAGGATTTGACTTTGATGCTGGGAATCGTGACTGTTGCAGTGGCCATCAACGTGGTGCAGCTGAGGGGTTCAAAAAGGCTCCTAAAAAGATGCCTTTAAGGCTGAAAAACGCCACACACAGGCCTGACATGTGGATAAAATTCAGGTCTATCTGCAAGTATAATCATAGTATATGTTTTTTCCATCTCCTCAAGTTACATGGCGCCTGACAAAACGCCATGTAACTTAACTTATTGGCGAATTCACAACGCCAATTTTTGTCGACATCGATCTGAGCTTCCCAGCGTACTGATCCCTGGTGAGCGTTGTGTCCTTGGACAGTGGGATGATCCATGATCTGGGAAGTAATCAAAGACTAGCCCTGCGATGCCCTGCAACTCTTGTGCAACTTCATGGTTTACATTAAATGCATTTAAATTATCTAATGTTAATTATTGCTACTTGTGTTATGATTAGAAAAAAACGTGTATAAGTTGAAATTTGTAGACAAGTGTGAAAAAACAACCAAATTGCCTTGGGATCCATGTTAAACGTAAGTATCAAAGAAATATATCGCACCAACATGCACCAACCATTGTTATGGAGGATTTTTGTTCAGAAAACAATATTATTTGCTTGCAAAATCTTATTTTTGAAGGCAAAACCATCTGTCCTCTTAATAAAACGACCTGGTCAAGTTAAAGAACTTGAGTCCTCGAAAGATGCTTCAAGAAGTTGTACTTCCTGTACCTATTTCCACCAATGATACGTACATACAAGAAGATAGTATCAGATAGATAGTATCAGATAGATAGTATCAGATAGAGATAGGGATAGATATAGAGATAGAGCGATAGAGAGGATAGGATAGGATAGGATAGGATAGGATAGGTTAGGCGGACAGGATAGGATAGATAGATGGATAGATAGAACGAGTGCTTGATTTGATTTGATAATATAAATAAGATTACATGCACATCTATAGAGTAATTAGTCATGATTGGTGCCAATTTCAGCCATCATGCCAGTCTTCCAGTGTCAGATTCGTCTACGTCTCTCAGGTGCCCCACCACAACGATTTGCAATGGATCATCGATGCAGTTTGGCCTCGTGCCCGTGCAAACATGGCCAACAACCGTGAGGATTCAACCATCCAAACTGGCGGAGATTTTTATCAATTAGATCATATCCGTTGTTCGAATATTTCAATGGGTCTTAAAAAAAACCTATTTACATATACTTTTACAGTAGAGACATCATCCTCTTCGATGAGATATCCATTGCCGTGTCTGGCAAAAGGTGTCCCAAAGGTTAGTTGTTAGGGTTCGTTGCATGCAGCGGATATAATTTCTTGTATCCTTCCCTCATATTTAATACACACTCGTATATGTCTCTAATTTTGCAAGTTGTACATAGTTGTACATGTATATACACCCTCGGCAACCACAACCTACTTTTCTGTGGGTTAAACAAATAAAAACATGTTATTTCACTTTAATAACGTAAAACCGGGTTATTCTCAAAAAAATGGCTTTTCCCCATGGTTGGATTTTGAAGGGTTTGTCGTAGATCATATATTGATTCGAATATATATATATATATGATCATATATATGATTCGATATATATATATATATATGAATATATATATATATATGAATATATATATATATATATGAATATATATATATATTCATATATATATATATATGAATGTGTATATATATATGAATGTGTATATATATATATATAGAGATTCTATATTAGATACATGTACTCAAATTAATCCTCCCATGTTTGATATCTATATATCATATAGGAGCTCCGTTTCAGCCGTAGCCCTGTCGAGTTGGTTTCCGCACTTTCCACCAGGCAAGCTAATCTGCTTGAGGGCACCCTCCGTGGAACCTGAGGACATTTGAAAAAAAAAACATAGGATTTCACAAAGAAAAATGGTGATTTAATGGGGTGTAAGCAACAAAAATATGGTGATTTAATGAGGATGCAATATGGATATCATGGGAAAGCCATGGAATATCGGTTTAGAAATACCCTCTGGTGTCATCAGCCACGTGGCTGCAAAATCAACTATAAATGGAGGTGTCTGGCTGGGAAAATCATCCATAAATGAAGGGGAATTTTCCAGCAAGCCATATTCGATTGCCAGAGTGTATTTTATGAGTTTTTATGACATGGCAGTGTGTCAAAACCTTGTACCCCTGGTGAACATCAAAATAGCTGGTAAATGGATGTTCATCCCACTAAAAATGGTATTAATAGGTATTGATCCATAGCCACATACTTGTAGGTCCGTAGGTCCTGTGCACTATGCACTGCGAGTACAGTTGTTTTGGGATGTGAACTAAAAGGGTCCTGCAGCAGTTCGCGGCCAGGTGATCCAGGTGTCCCAACACGTGAGGATGAAGCCGGGCGGGGCCACGATATTGATCTGGTTCCCTGCATTCACGTTCAGGGCAAAGGTGAACCTCAGCGGACAGAGAAGCAGCTGAGATTTTTCCATGGCAGCACTGAAAGCCTCGTTTTTGAACAGTAAGAATTTTGTAATGTTCATCTCATGTTTTTGAGCTACTCATAGATACTTAGATAATCTTAGATACTTGTCCCACCATGATATCCTCACAACAAGCTCCTAAGCCATGAGAAAAAGCTAGGGGCCTCACACAATTTGCGCTTGCTGCACTGTGGCAACAGCTGGGTACCTGCAACAGCGCAACAGCTTCCCAACCTAGTCCCATCGCATTCATATCAAGTACCCCCAACATCCCCGGATAAGAAATCTAAACTAATGATAGATGGGGATATTCGTGAAATATTGGTTGGATCCAATTGTTGGATCTACACTAATATCTAGTTGTTTAATAGATCCAACAAGTTCCTCCAGGGTTTCGGGTTGAGGGTATAAAGGAATAGTGGGGTTGGATTACTATTCCAACATATTCCAATTGTGGTTGATATATGATATTATGATATTAATATGTATTTATATGCCAATTGGATTAATATTCCAATTAATATGGTGGGATCGGATAATTACTACGCTGGTGATGCCTGTTGAGCCTCACCATGTCCCCAATGGCGCACATCACGTTGGTGGCGGCCATTTGTGTGACAAAGAAGCCGGCACCTGCGATTGCCGCTGACTGGCGCGATGAGAGCCCACTTCAAAATGATAGTAGACATCCTGTTCATCGAAGAGTGAGAAGCTCAGCTCATGCACTGAAATTCCAGGTGAATACTATAATTACTGTATGGTATAATATACAATCATATGTACATATATTAATGTCTGTATTTATGTGTACATATATATATATATAATATGTGTCTATACCTGCGCTATCTGCATCTCTACAGATCCCTGAAATATAAGTTGCTTGGTTCTTTTTGCCCAGGTCAATGTGTGTGTGTGTGCCTCTGTCGGCCTAGACCCATACAAAAATGGGGGTCAAACATGTTGAGCATGCCCCCCTCGCCCATCCTGACCCACGCCTTCGCCCCAACCAACAGTTGTACCAGCACCCTGACCACGTCCTTCCACGTACCAAGTGACGCCTGGAATGAGTTGAAACGTTGAACCCAAGCATTGGTCAGTAGATCATGTACCGAAGTTCTCCAAAGGTGAGGCATCAAAACTGATGGAATCCCCTTCTGATCCAAAATAGTTTGGATATATGGATGTAAATAGAATATCCATTGGCCAAAATAACAGATCCATGGGGATGGATCCCCAATAGTATGGATATATGTTCATCCCATCAATATCTATGGCATCAAAAATCGATCCACGGTTTCGATCCATCCCCATGTGCCAACGTTGGGTATATCGACACAGCATGGAATGCTGGGAGGATTTTTGAGGTTGTGATCCATTAGTATGGTTCAGGCCCCCAAAGTATGAGTCCCAGATATACGGGCAAACCCCACTACGCATTTATCAACTCAGGGATTCTCGCAGTAGGATTTGTTGTAATATGGGTTTGTCTGAAAATAGTGTACCCCTACACCCAATGGTTAATGATCATTATCCCTACTAAATGGCTATAATTGGGGGTATACCCCATTTTCAGACATACCCATATAACCTTAGTGTACCTTTGTGCCATTAACTGAGGATTGATCATCCAAATAGATACTCGCTTTAGTTGTCTGCAAGTCAAGTCCGAGACAAACAGTACCACGTTGGCATCGACATGGTCCCTCTATTAGGAATCTGCCAGAGGGTCTTTTGACTGGTTTTCAAGTTCACTTGATGAAACACACATCAACATGGCTTGACAACATGCAACCACAGCGAATTTGGGGTACCCTGCAAAGAATATACGGTTTAGCTGGCTAGGAGTATATATATATATACAATGTGGGGCCCCCTAGTTGTAAGTTGGTTTGTAAACCCCATGAACTATAGTTATATCTACTATATCCCATAGTTATTGGAGTTATAAAACCACTTAGCTATCTAGGGGGCCCCACATTGTACCCATTGATCATCCCAATATGAAATACACCCAAATTCGAGCCCAAATGAACAGATCCAATACTAAATAAACCAGGCGGCTGCTAGGTGTTTGCTCCGGTGTCAGCACACGGACCCTGTGGACAGGAAAAGACATGGGGGGAGTCTACGAGGCTAATCTGAGCTACATCCTAATCCAGAAGTCAACTTTTGGTAGGATAAATATGTATGTGTATATGTTAGGAATGTATATGATAATATATATATACACGATAGACAGAGAGAGAGAGAGAGAACCAGTATGCGTATGTATATATTATATATAAATATATATAGTAACATATATATATAGTAACATATAGTAACATATAGTAACATATAGTAACATATAGTAATATAATGTAATATAATGTAATATAATGTAATATAATGTAATATAATGTAATATAATGTAATATAATGTAATATAATGTAATATAATGTAATACAATGTAATATAATGTAATATAATGTAATATACATTACTATGGATATCTTAAATTCCGCCATCCGCAGATCAAAATTGACCCAACATAACAACACCCCTGCTGTAGACACGATGACCCTGCATGCTGGCAGTCGTCTTGGGATCACATTCATAACATTTAATCAATGTAACTGATGTTTTTCATTTTCTGGATAACATATATATATATATTAAGAAGTGATAACAATGACCTCTGATCAATCTAACCCTGATTAACATTTTGAGACCCCTCAACTTGATGTTTCACTCCCATGTTTCAGCCGGAATTCATGCGGCTTGTAGGAATCATGCAGCCACATCCATCTCCCACTATTATGGTCAGAACCTATGGTAACGTATGCATGTTAGAAGATTGCCATAAGACGCCATAAGCTCTATTTACAGTGGTTTACATTGGATGTCGGGTCAAAACCGTGGTACCCTGGTGACCGTCCCCAGATTGACCAAACCAATTCACAGTGGGAGTTAACTTATTCAATTTTGAGTGTGGTCATTTCGACCCATGTTCATGTCTACCAAAAAGTAGTTTGATAACCATCCTCCATGTATGGCATTGCATGGGACTCCCAGAACACTTTTGTTTTTTGTCTGGGATAAGGAACATAGCTGACAAAATCCATTGTTTAAATGGTCTAATTCCTTCCCGCAATATCTATTCAATAGCCATTGGAAACCATGGAATGTACTGCATCAATTCATTTTGGGATAACCCCATTTTGTGTTGTTTGGATCCTATGTCATATTCACATGATGTTTCTTGGGGAGTGTCATCTGGCTGAGTTATAGCAATAACAAACATAATCATAAAGATAGGAATGCCAATAGTAAACATGTTTTATTACTATTCGTATTATTACTATTATGATTCACCAAACTAAAATAGGTTATACCATCTGGTTATTTAACATAGCCATGGAAAATCACCATTTTTTATAGGTAAACCATCTATAAATGGTTCAACATTGGGTGCCCAAATACTTGGATGGTGAACCAACAAAAATGGACGGTCGCCAATCTGTGGTTCTCCATGTGAAGTAAAAAATTGACCCTAGGAGACCAAGATTTTTTGGATGATGGCATACAACAAATTCATATATCAATACTAACAATATAGATATATATACACATATCTATATATATAATATTATGTATATATTATATATACACGTATATGTATGCAATATGATACATATATATATATAATACAGTAATATTATACACATAGACACAAATATTTTTGGATGATTCCCCATATCTAACCAGAATCGATCGTTGGTGACGTCGCGGTGACAAGGGGCTGAATTCCCTGGAGCTGCGTCAATGGCTCTCCCGTGGGCGAGGCGATGGTCGCGGTCCTGGGCAATGGGGAGTTCACCTCTAAAAGCTGCAGGTTGCATGGCGTTGCCTCGAAAATTGATTGGAATTGCCCTTCTGAATGAGGAAAATGAGATACCCTCTGGTAAACATACAAAAAGCTATTGAAAATGGCCATAGAAATAGTTGATTTACCCATTAAAAATGTTTACCAGAGGGTAAAATGAGGATGTTGAAAGGATTCATTCCCAAGAAAATAGCTGTGGATCAGCCAAACCTTGGGAGGTTCTTGTGTGGTCCATTGGGACCATCATTCCTGGTGCATGTGCAACCGCACAGCCATCGGATTGAATCTTTTAGTTCCTACCCTCTGGTAAACTAACATAACTATGGAAAATCACCATTTTCAATCGGAAAATCCACTATAAATCACAATTTTCAATAGCCACGTTAAATTACCAGAGGGTATGTTTGTTTTGAATATCTTTAAGACTTTCAAGATCATCAAAGATCTCTCAGATTTCTCCAGCATTTTCCCAGGTCCAACTCACAGCGATAGCAACGAAGAAATTGGCATCCAGACTTTCGGTTCGTCGCAAAGGACTCGCCAGGCCTGAAGCAATTGGCAGGGCGAAAGCCATTGGGTAACCTACAGAAACTTAGATATCCAATAGATTATCCATAGGTAACCTCTAGAACCCTAAATGAGCCTCTAGAAAAATTGGGTCACTTAGATATGGAGAAGTCACCCTTATTTGCTGGAAGTTATCCAATGTTATTTCAGTGTCTTAGATATTGAGAATTCACTATGTTTCTATCCCTTGTAGATATGGAAATTCCAGATAGGGAAACGTAACTTAGAGATGGAACATTTTTTAGTGGTGGTAAAGCTATGGTGGGATACGGCATCATCTAGATTTGGGTAGCCATAATAAGCACTGGATGTTTGGAAGATCCACCTCCAAGCCGAAGCCATGGGATTTCCATAGCTCTGTTGGGTTGAAAAATCCCTGCCGTCTGGACGCAGAACGTTTATCAAAGAGTCCCGGACCCGGTTGAATCCCTGCCTTGTGCACCATCGGCACAGCAAGACATAGCAAGACAATGTGAATAGAAAACTACATGAAAATACAACTCTATGGAGTATTGAAGGCAAGGATGTTTCATGTGTTAAAAACTAGCTGGGGGACCTGGGGTACGGGCACTGACAATTTCGCCACGAGTACCACCAAACAGGACCATCTCCATGGCTTGAATCCTCCCTTCATGGAGATCCCCCCCAAAAAAAAAAATCTTGCAGGTCTATGCATCCCCATGGAGAGGGGTTTATAATAAGTAACTACCCATAGGAATATCATGATCCCTCAGGGAAATATACCTCCAGCGATGAAACATCCACCATGGATGACGTATTTTCCCAGCCGATTTGACCGAGGATCCTTAAGGATTTCCAGGATTTCCCAGCCATGTGGCTACCCTTGATCCCTTTTTGGGAATCCACGTTAGCAATCGGAAAATCGCATTGTTACATATTATGTGTTTTCCGTTACATAAAAAGCTGGATCTACCATTCCCAACTGAAAGCCTGCCAGAAAACATCCCAACTTGGTTTCCAGACAGACACATGTTGCCACAGCCACCCGCGCTGTCATCGAAGCTGAATTCCGGAGGTGTCACAATGATCAGCTCCTGCGAAGATCATGTGGGAAACGTTTGGATTTAATGGCAATACAATGGGAATATCATGGGGATAGAATGAGATATAACTTACCAAATGGGATGTATATATATATATATAACTGACATTAACTGACATTAACTGACATTAACTGACATTAACTGACCAAACAAATGGATGAACTTGGTAAACCCAATAATAAACTATAAGCCTACCATTTGGGGATGGTTATCACAAAATAACCCACAAAACCCATTCATGGTTTTCCCATCATCTAATTCTAGGACAATAACTGGCAAACCATCCCATCTCTACCCAAAAAAAAAGGGGGCCTCAGAAACCATACCCCCAAAATGGGCGTCATTCTTCGGTTTACCGTACATGGTCTTAAAAAGACGACCGAAACCGCAAAATTCAAAGTGAGGGAAGCAGTGTTTTCCTTGGAACTCAAAGGACAAAAGCTGTACTTACTGAGATATCTGAACATATCTGAACGGTAAGGAATACCAGCCTTTCCGATGCAGGAAATCAAACAAGGTAATTATTCGCACAATGGGACATACTGATTGGATAGCTCACAGATTGTCAGAGTGGCGTCTTGCCAAGTATCTGATGCCATCCACCGAAGGCTTCACTTCCCAAGAAGTGTCAGGTTGCTGGACATTTAGCCAGTAGCAATCGGCGTTTGCACCCCTCCAACAAACAAAATAAACACACATAACAGGAAAGTCGACATGATATGACATGATGACATAGAACATAACGGGAACTCATGCAACTTTGCGATGAGACAAGATCCAGGAATGGAGTGATTTCTTTTACCACAGCCAGCTGTGAATTCACGCAGGCCCCCTTGAAGCATCCGCAGTCCCGAACAATCGCATTGCCGACATCAATGTTCAGGATGACATTCACCTGGCAAGGCCGCAGAATTTTGGCAGGAAAAAAGAACTATAGTCAATTGGCATCATGGAAACTAGAAGATCGTTAAAACATGTTAAAACCATCAACTAATATTTCAATCGAAACTTCTGTTGGAGTCATTTTCTTGCCAGTCTCACACAATTGATGGGTTGGTGCAACAAATGTCGAACAGTGACATCATGCTGATTCTCCATGGCCATCTTCGATCCCCTCGTTGGTAACACTGCCAGGAGAACGACTGCTCTGGGCGGACTTCGAACTGCCTGGCGCGTTTCAAAAAACATTCCCCGCACCAAAAAAAGCACATGGGGAAGTTCTCCGTGCCCCACAGGTGCAACCATTTGAAGCGTCAATATACATGAGATTACTTTATATCCAAGTCAGGAGAATGTACAAACAAAATTAAACAAATATCAATAACGACAGAAAAACAAAAAACAGACCAGCATAGACCAGCTTCAATATCTGGGTTAACAGTTATTCACTAACCTGAATAGTTGGGCCATTTCGGGATGGTTTACCCAGAAAAACTCGGAAAGGGTCAACTGGGATCACCAACAATCTACCCTCTGGTGATCACCAACAATCACTCCACAAAATTGCGAAGTGGACAAAAACACCATGGTTTCAAAGGAAAATTTACATAGGTAAATCATAGGTAAAATCCTGGAAAATCATGGGTTACATCAATGTTTGTCTATCTGCCATGGCTATGTGAAATAACCAGAGTGCCTTTTTTCGGAGTGTCCTCATGATCAGGTGAATCCACCACAGCCATCCTCTTACCACGATTTTTTATGTGTGCTGCTGGTTAAACTTTAACCCCCTTAAAAACATTAAAAAACGGGTACCATCCAGCTTAAAAACGTTAATTATTTTATGGATGGTTTATTTCATGGAAAATCCAAAAAATTCATCCATTTGTTCATAGGATTTTCATGGATTTTCCATGAAATAAACCATCCAGCGGGGATCCTCCTGGAGGTCGCCGCGGTTTGCGGTAGCCGCTGCCTCCACTCCAAGCACAAACTGCTCCACGGGCGCAAAGCCTACGGCTCTGTAAGCTGGCGCTTACAGGCTCCGATAAAATTCCAAAGACATTAGACACAAGGATCGGATAGTTCATGATAGTTCATGATAGTTCATGATAGTTCATGATAGTTCATATGGTTCATGATAGTTCATGATGGTTCATGATGGTTCATGATGGTTCATGATAGTTCATGATGGTTCATGATAGTTCATGATAGTTCATGATAGTTCATGATAGTTCATGATAGTTCATGATAGTTCATGATAGTTCATGATAGTTCATGATAGTTCATGATAGTTCATGATAGTTCATGATAGTTCATGATAGTTCATGATGGTTCATGATAGTTCATGATAGTTCATGATAGTTCATGATAGTTCATGATAGTTCATGATAGAGTTCATGATAGTTCATGATGGTTCATGATAGTTCATGATAGTTCATGATGGTTCATGATAGTTCATGATAGTTCATGATAGTTCATGATAGTTCATGATAGTTCATATGGTTCATGATAGTTCATGATGGTTCATGATGGTTCATGATGGTTCATGATAGTTCATGATGGTTCATGATAGTTCATGATAGTTCATGATAGTTCATGATAGTTCATGATAGTTCATGTTCATAGTTCATGATAGTTCATGGTTCATGATAGTTCATGATAGTTCATGATAGTTCATGATAGTTCATGATGTTCATGATGGTTCATGATAGAGTTCATGATAGTTCATGATAGATGGTTCATGATAGTTCATGATGGTTCATGGTGGTTCATGATGGTTCATGATAGTTCATGATAGTTCATGATAGTTCATGATGGTTCATGGTGGTTCATGATGGTTCATGATAGTTCATGATAGTTCATGATAGTTCATGATAGTTCATGATCTTTTGGTACGTGTTGATACCAAACATGAAGAAAATTGGATTCTTTACTGATGGTATATGATGGTCTTATGTCTTATCCCAGAAAAATTCCGTCTGCTGAGTCTGCTGTAGGCATTTTGAGTAACGAGTCCATCTTTCCACACCTCTTGGATGGTCGAAAACTCTGAGAGCCCCACCGTTCAACTCGCCATCGTTGGTGTTGGTGGGTAATGATCCACCATCGCTAGTGTCAAATCGCCAAGTGTTGGTTCCCTGCACTGGCAACACCTTAGAATAGCGAGACATAGCCAAAGAACTGGGAAATGCTTTGACAATTTTTAATATTTTTTAATGAATGCCATGCTGATATCTGTTTTTTCATCCAAGATCATCCAAGTCATTAGACCATTTTAGTATTGAAACCCATGGTGACTTGGGGCTCCTCCATTTTAAGAAAGCCCAATATAATCGACATATCCACTGCCGGCGAAATGTCCCAGTGTCGCTGGTCGAATGAATCTCCAAATGCTGTTGGTTGTCTCACTTGTCATTGCTTGCCATATCCACGATGTTTGCTATCAAATCCCAGCGTTACATGCTGAATCCCTCCCGCGTGAAAGGATCGCCTGAACAAACACATGTCTCCATGATCTTTGCATGAGGTGCCGACCCACATGATGATGGTGTACGGCGTATCTGCCTGCGGCCGCAAGGCAAGGTGATGAACTGCTTACTTCATGGTCAAAGCCAAGAGCAACACACTCAATTCACATTCCCTGGTGTTGGTTATATGTCGGTCAAAGCAGTAATTTTATGCTGATGGATTCTAGCAAGTTCTGGATGGCTTTGTCCTAAGGATTGATATATATATATATATCATTATACATGTGTATGTATATATATATGTGTATATATATACATATATTAATTATGTTATATACATATATACAGTATGTTACATATATACATATAACGTATGTCATATACAATCATATATAACGTATACTTTATACTACATATATATAACTTAATTATGTATATAAGAAATATATATATATATGTATATCCATGAGCGCTGGCAATACCTCCAAAGTGCGCAGGTTTAATCCAAACTTGTCAGTGTACCCTACCCTATTCGTCAATGAACATCACCGAACATGGGCAGGTCGATCCCCAACATTCCCTAGCCCCAACAAATTTACCAGTGGGAGAATGTTGATCTCTCAAAAAATTGACACATATCAAGGGACGCAAATAGTCAATGGTTGGTTTCAGCAAGGACCTTCAGACTTTTTCCCCTAAGTTGGTCTAGAACCCCAACAACTCCGCATAAACAAAAGTGACATCCTCCATAAACCCTACGACTAACCCAAGTCATATGCATCAACCTCTCCGTTTTGGCACCTGTAAGGCAACCTCTGTAGCAGGTCGACCAGGTTTCAAGGTGGCCTCACAGGAATTTTTAACTGCAGGTGATCACCAGAAAGATCTTCAATTTTTTAAGCTGGATATTACATGATATAGCAATCACAATTATATCATGAAATATAATATGAATGGATATCACAATGTAATATCACAATTAATTACTGGATAATGGAGCTGAATATGACCCAATCTTCTGAAACTCCAGCAATCACAAGCTGCCTGAGCTCATGAAAACCTTTACCGAACCAAGATTCGTAGTCTGAAACAGCTCCGAAAATCTGGAGGAAATATGCCGGCAATGGGGCCGGACACGAAGCAGAGGATAGAACATGATGAAATTTCACAGTACCCAACTGGTGAGTATAACATGGGTCATGACTGATGTCCCCATTTTTCACATCACCCAACCATGAAAGGTTTTTGTGGTCTATAATGGCTACTTTTTTAGGTGATGTCCAATATACCCAAAATGGGACAGTTACCAACCCCTGTATAATATGTGTATAGTTCTAGGTACGACTATACAGTCAGAGCTGCTGCTGAATGCCATTTAAAGCCTTCGGAATTGTTTCATCAGACTGGTCTGAGAGCATCAACAGCGACTCAATTCCAATGTGAAATTTGCCGCAGAAGGTTTCATCTACCCTCTGGTGAACTAACATAGCAATGGAAAATGGCCATTTATAGTGAGTTTTCCCATTAAAACAGGTGATTTTCAATAGCTATGTTAAATTACCAGAGGGTAGCTAAATAATCAATCCTGCATCTGTACTCGTACAGTCTGATATACCACATAGAATATAGCGATAAAATATAGAGATAGATCTACCTGATAAAACATATAGAGAATACAAATAGAATACGGATAGTTTTCATAGATGATTGTATCTGATACCCATAACATCGGTTTTCCAAACATGTCTTAACCTGTTCGATTTTCCGTTTGCTCCCAGGGCACCCTCAGGATACCATCCGTATCAATCTCCACCTGAGCGGTGCGAAAAAACATGGTGCCTTTGACAAACCAAACTGCTTCAACCGTTGGTAAAACAATAAAACAATGACATACTGCCTATCGTACTGCAATCTAATGCAATCTAATGATAGTAATAAAACTAGACATAATCCATATTTATATCCATGATATGGGAGAAACTCTGTGATTTTTTTTGACATGGAATCCAGCTACTGGGGTCACAGCTTACCCCAGGAATGCGGTCTTTGAAATCACGTTGGCTTGGGTGGATCTGCTACCCAAGGAGTAGTTCTCTTCAACCCTGATCCAAATATGAGTCATTTCCCTCTTATTATGTGGGTGTGCTACGAGAGAAACACATGTACATAATCATGTAGTGTGAAAACAATGATAGTAAACAATAATATACCTCTGGATCGCATGTGTATGTAGAATGTGTGTGTATATACATATGTATATATATATATGCCCATATCCTCATATGTATATACGTATGTATATAATTGTATATATATATATATATAATCACACGAGCATATATCCAAAAGGGCGAATATATAAATAAAATCACATGATATGGGAATACAATGGAATACATATATATATATAAACAGTTATAAACATATGGGGGTTGTCAAAAATTAATGTACCCGAAAACTGCCCTTACGCCGCGCTTTCGCGAACCTTTCGCGCCCTTTCGCGCCCCAGCAGAATCGGGACATGGGATTATGATCGGTTTATAGGTTTATAAATAGTGGTATTCAGACCTTTCGCGAACCTTACGCCGCCCTTTCGCGGCCTTTCGCCACTGCAGCAAAACATACACATCCATATCTGCAGATGTCACTCGGATACTAAAAAAAGCCTTGCATGGGTTTTAGGACGACTCCCATATGTGATGTATACCGTATACCTGTATAAGACATAGATTTACACAGCATGTCAAGATCCTCATCCAAGACCGCGTTCGTCGATCAAGTTGCGTTGGTTTCGATTTCTCCAATGCCGATCACCACGAAGGGCGACTGCCTCAGCATCAACAAAGCATCAGGGGTAATATATGGGTTACTATATAGATGTATATGCTTAGGACATATAGATGTGTGTATATATATACATATGTGTATATATATATATATACGTGTATATATATATATGTATATGTATGTATATATATATATATATGTATGTATGTATGTATATATATGTATGTATGTATGTATGTATATATATGTATGTATATGTATATATATATGTATGTATATATATATATGTATATATATATATGTATATATATATATGTATATATATATGTATGTATATATATATATATGTATGTATATATATGTATATATATGTATGTATATATATATATATATATCAGCAAAGCTAGCAAACTGAGTATTTTACTAATTCGATTGTGGTATCAAAATACTATATCATAACAAACTATAATAAACTATTATTAGAAACCAAACTATTATCATAATACATGGTATTGTCCTATATTGAGAAAAAAATCTCACCGACAAACATGATAAACTACAAAAATTTGGGATAAGAACAGAACGAAGCCACTACTGTCACGACTGGGTATGGATGACAGTCTACTTCAAGGTCATACAGTAACATGCCATACCCATCGGGACCAGACCTACCCTTCTTATACACCAGGAAACACAACTTCACTCTGCTATGGGGTCTCCATGTCACAACGAATACTGCATTGATTATTTAGAGTCATTTAATATGTGGGCATGTGGAGGTACCATTTTCTATTGCATTTTATGCTACGTTAACACCTTTACTGCTGCACCCAAATGAAGCAACTACAATGGGGTTTCTAGGTTTCTGAATCTGGGTCGACCTTAATCCATGTCTTAACCCACTTCCTGACAGCTTGTGCGTCAAGCGTGGCAACCGCTACGTCATCCACTAACTTCCGTACTGGCACTGCACTGGGATGCACAAGAAAATATGAAGATTGAAGACGTACTTAAACTAAACCAGCAGAATTGCTTACCAACCAATCAAGCACCAATCTTCCAGGGCAGGCCAATCTTAAAACACCGCCGAAGGCCGAAGGGCTTCAGCTGGTACTTGGCTTGCCCCTGGCATGTCACCAAAAGCCTGGCTGGCGGCGGAATCACGTCACCAATGACCAATGACCCCAACAACTCCATGTTTTCTTTCCGAAGTTTTAGGGATTTTGTATCTTAAGTTGTTGGACTGTTTTCCCAAGTCTTCAATGATGTTTTCGTAACGGTGTTCAAGTTCAATGGACATTTTCTTGGATCCTTGTTGGCTGTTGGAATAAAAATCCCCTTGGTTCATCCATTTGGCGTCATACTTGGCACACGGTGAGGCCCCTCAGTTCTGAGTTGGTCTACAAAGCCATTAACTGTAGCTACATCCTGTGTATATTCTGCAAAACAAATCTACTTAACCAAGTTCTGATCAGTTCTGTGCGTCAACTTAGCCATCATAAATCAGCTATAAATCACTTTAAGTAAGCATTTTTGTTTGTTAAAGTATGATAAAATCACCATGCTCCTATGGTTTTTCCAGCGAATTCCAATGGTTTCCCATAGTTTGCCGCCTCTCAGACGCTTGGACAGCCCTGGAGAAGGACAAGGTGAACTCCGCTTTGGCGTCCTGCGGTGAGGCATAGTATCACTATGATGTTACAGGTTTTTTTACGGGGTACTATCACTAATCATTGTCGGATTCAGTTCATAAACCATGGTTTATAAAAATTAGAGGGGGGTACTCACCCAAGAGTGATAATCTGATACTTAAATCTTACCCCCTAAAAAAACAGCCGTTCGTTGTTGATTAAACCAGGGTTGACATTAGGTCACTTAGGTCACTTGGATTGTTGCGCTACCTTTTTGCTATTTCGGATGTTTCATGATTTTCGAAAGTGCTATATTTAGTTGTGAAACCCATAGTAGAACGCCTGGGATGCACATCCAAGTAGGATATCCTTAGAGCAAAAGGAATCATTAGCATTATGCATTTATTTATTTATTTTTACCATGCAGACTGCAGAGGTCTGTGCACAGAACCTTAGCCTTTGAAATTGCGAAACATATGAACAAAAGTAGAGAGTAATCGGCTGAGGAGAAACGAATTTAGAATGTGTGAAACATCTTTAAAATTCTCAACGCCTTTCACATAGCCAGCATCCGCCTTCGCGTAGTCATTCTGTATGATGTTGAGAGGAACGGAAAGAAAATATAATATATATATATTTATTTATTTATTTAGCGCAGCAGAACCAGGAACCATCAGCATTATATTACATAATATGTTTGAAGATAATCAACCCTGGTTCAAAAACTCCCCTGAGCTTAGCGGCTTAATTTAAATGGCAGCACTTTGATAGCAACAACTCAAATCGAGGCAACCCTGGACCCTTAACATATTCGGCGTTAAGTAAAAAATCCTACAACTGGAAACTAGAACACCAAGTTGGATTGATATTATAACAAATAGCATAGTCATAATCCAATCGGAATATTGGGATCTAAAAATATGTTTAATCCCAATATGTTAAACATGCTACTTCGTAGTTTTTTCTGTTTATTCCGAAAATGGGGGGCACCACCCGCAACTTCCTTTTGATCTCCTCCTGGACTCGCGGTTGAAAGAGTGACTTCACAGGGAACATGGCCCTGGCATCTTGGTACCTTAAGGAGTCTCAAGGTGCTGCAACAGAACCTATTCGTAAAAAAAAAAACATAGACATAGCTAGATGCTTTGAAATAGCTAGATATAGCTACATTGTTGAACAAATATGTGATTGATGACAAACATGTGTGTCATCTAGCTATATCGATGTTTTATCTATGGGCTAATTGGTGAACTAAGTCTAGATCTATCTGAGATAAACCTGGTCAGTGAACTTACTATGAGGGCAACTATGGTTGGATGATTGCATCACAGGTCAACAAATGGTTGACCTAGCTGAGCATCTCTGAATGCCTCCGTCTTTTCTACATATGTATATATATATATGCGTATATATATATATAATTATATATATAGTTATATATATATAGTTATATATATATAGTTATATATATAGAATATTATAGAATTATAATGAATTATATAGACCATTATAGACCCATAAGTGTTCTGCTGCACCTGGACCCTCCAGAGCTGAGGTTCCCTGCTGACTCCTCAAAATGGGAGCACTGATTACGCTGATCCTCAGCCCGCTGCAAAGATGCAGTATCTGGAAGCAAATCTTCAGGTTTCTCGTGAAAGATGCGTTGGTTCCATTGGTTTCCCATTCGTTTTTGGAAACACCTTTGGAATGGAACATTTTTGTTAGCTTTTGGAAACAACTTTGGAACCACCTTTGGTTACATATTTGTTTTTGGAACATATACTGTACCTACCCTCTGGTAATTTAGCATAGCTATGGAAAATCACCATGTTTAATGGGAAAATCCACTATAAATGGCAATTTTCAATAGCTATGTTAAATTACCAGAGGGTATATAATATATGATTTGTTTTTGGAACATCGGTTTCCCACCAAAAACTGAGGAATCTTGATATCGGGCCGATGCTGTCCATGGCCACCCTGGGCCCAAAAGGGGCCGGGCTTCGAAAAAGGTACCCATGGTTGTTGTTATTCCATACTGTTCATGGTAAATATCCCTATATCCTGGATCCTACATAAGTGTACATTACATTGTGTATATATATGTATATATATATAATCATGTATATATATATATATATGTATATATACATACGTATATTATATATATATATTATGTATATCATTCAAATCATGGTAAAGTTCGTAACTTGGATATTTCTGGATGGACCACATCCCCTTCAAGCGACCCGTCCAACAACGAGCCATCCTGGATCTGTACTGAGCCTCCCCACAATCCGGGCAAGCGGAAGCCACCTGTGAAATCCAACTTCTCATCCTGGGGCGAAGGATTGTAGATCCATTAGAGATCCATCTTGATTTGATGATCATTTACAATGTATATATGTATATCAATATATACACTGTATATATCCGTATTTGTATGTGTGTACGTGCACTGTATAAATATATATATATATATATATGCACAGGATTGTACATGTGTATATATATATATGCTTGAATAAGTGTATACACGTACATAGGATACACAAATGGATAAGTGGATGGATGGATGGATACCTGGATGAGTGGGTAGGAGATGAACTGCATGCTGCTGGGAGACCCAGTGACCCAGTGACCCACGATGGACTTTCGCCAGGGGAAATAAATACTGGTCTTTTTGTCCTCCAATATAGAAATACGTGCAAACAATTCCAAACATGTGTATAAATACATATATATATATATATTATGTATATATTGCAAAAACCACGTAATAAGAGTTGCTTTTGTATAAAAATCCAAAAGAAACAATAGTGTTGGCAAACAACAAATTATCACATCATCTCAATACCATGCCAATTCCACACAACACTAACACGATCTAATGCGAAGAAACTTCCTTCCAATGCCAAGGCAAATGTACAAGTGAACTACTTCCTGGGAATATTAAAGCACATTAAAACCAAAAAATGTTAGCGCACTGCTAACGTGAACCTAGCGCCAAGCTGCAGAAATGCCGTATTTAGTTGGGGGCCCGCTACATGATATCATAATGAAGTCTAAAGACCTATTGTCTAGAATTACTTTCGCAAATTGATTTACTTTTCCTTGCTAGGGATTTTTGACCGAATCCCATATCTTTGGATATGATGAGAAAGCATACAGACGATTAAATCACATGCACTGCAAACCAGCCACAACTGAAGCGTCCCTCCAAATTCCAGGATTATTGGTGGTCTCCCAACATGTTCCACCCGATTTTCATCAAAATTTCTTGTTATTGCTTTATTTTGGAACCAAGAGATTCGGAAGGAGCCTGGGTCCTGGTCTTGAGATTATGAGAACCCGGTCCGGAAAAAACACATTCGCAAGACTGATTCCACGTTGTTGCACAAACATTCAAAAAATGCAACAAACACAAATCATGGGCAGCCAAGCAGCCCTCTTCTCACCCAGATCCAGCATCTCATCTTTGTATGTGACAAAGTTGAAGCGCGTCCTGAGAGCAAAATAACATAAAATAACGCCCTTGGAAGATGCTTTGGCCGCACAAGAAAAACAATAAAAACATTTCATCACTCTGTGTCGTTGCAGAAAAAATAAATCAGCTGCCAAAATTTGGATGTCTGGATGGTCCGGAGCATTGCTAATAGCATTGTGAGATCATGAAAGATCTATATCCCCAAGTTTTGTTGGTTGTATATATATATATATCAATGAGGTCTATACTCTTTTCTTTTGAAGCCATCCACATGTGAGCAGTTTCCGAAACATCAGGTTTGGATCAAACAAATATTCCACTGGTTGGCCCGGATTCCCATCATAATCATCAACTCCCATCATGGATAACCCCATGAAACAATGGAATGCCCTGGCTACTCCTTGGGGATTGCATAGGATTTCCTATTGCCAGAGATCTTTGATTACCATGGGGTACAGTACCTTACTTAGTATAATTTGTATGTGCATCCCAGTTGGTATATGTTAGTATCTAGCTATCACAGTCCAGGCATGGGATATTCCTTGCTTTATGGGTTACAAACACCAGCAGTCATTGTCGGCTAAAAACACACAACATCTCCAACTTAAATCCCAATGATCATATCCGAGTGATACCCAAATTCCAAACTTGAGACTATGTAGATCCGTTGCGAAAATAACTGATGATTTGTCAATAAAAAAACACCCTCCAGCAAACTAATATAGATATGCAAAAACCATGGTTTCGCCTGTAAATTCTCTACGTAACGCTGGATTTGTTCCATTTTAATTTGTGAGTGTGTCTCTGAAAATGTACCTGAATCTGCTTAGTTACCCTCTGGTAATTTAACATAGCTATTGAAAATCACCATTTATAGTGAATTTTCCCATGACAAATGGTGATTTTCCATAGTTATGTTAAATTACCAGAGGGTATAACATGTTATAACCATATGTTCATGGGGGTTTTACTAGCCCACACTAAGCCCAGACCTTTTTTTCGATCATCTCCTGGTGGACTTGGAACGGCGCTGAGTTCCCAACTGCCCACCGGCACGGCCCAGGCGGACGGTGTTGATGGCAATGGTGGCCATGACACCAGCGCGAAAACCTGCCACCGGCGTTTTCTCCAGACCGTATGGCTCAGATGTAAATGATGTACCCTCTGGTAATGACTAACAGTTTGCTATTGAAAATGACCATAGAAATAGTGAGTTTTCCCATTAATAGCATGGTGATTTTCCATAGTTATGTTAGTTTACCAGAGGGTATTTATTCTATCATATTCTATCATCCTGCCAGATATGATGAAATATGATCTGCCTTCCACAGCCTCTTTCCACCAGTAGTATCCCATTGATATATATATATATTGACATCCCATTCATATCCCATCAAACATGGCTTTCCCTTGATATATCCCATCCTTTCAAAAGGAGCCGTGGAATCCCGTGGAATCCCGTGGATCAACGGGTCCCGCCTCCACGATTGATGATGAGAGTCGATCCTTCACCTCGAATTGGTTGGTGCTTGACCTACCACCTCTGATGATGGGATTTTTTGATGATGGTTAATATACTGTGAAAATCATGGTTAATACCATGGTTATTATATGGTTAATGATGGTTAATAGTAATGACTGGTTGGTGGTTTCAACCTACCCCTCTGAAAAATGATGGAGTGAAAGTCAGTTGGGATGATGAAATTCCCAATATGATGGGAAAAATAACATTCATGTTCCAAACCACCAATCAGATATGATTCTCCGAGCTTTATAGAACTCAGTGTCATAGATCTCATTGTCATATCTGTTCTAGGCTTGGAGATATGATATTTGCTATCTTTTTTTATTCTCCATGGAAAATCTGACGTACGTTTTGCATGGAAACATCACCTTTCCAACCACTGCCGGCACCCGAGGAGAAGATGGTCTACATGGCAGCATGGTGGTAATTCCATTCCCATATAAAATCAGGAAAGGTAGCTATCGGTAGGGTTAGCTATTCTGGATACATTGTCATACAGAATAAATACAAAAATAAATAAATCAACAACAAAATAAATTATAATATATTATATATATTTTATATGTATGAAAATGTATATTATATATATATTAAATGATAAAACATAAACATATGTGTACATTCATAGAATTCTCCTTTTTTAGGTCACATCTTAGTATTTGGGAAGCCCGTTTATTCCCTATTAGAAATGGCCATGGGATAGGCCACGGGCCCCCAGGCTTCGACTGTCGATGTCGTATGGCAACGGCACCTCGGGTTTTTTAGCCACAGCAGTGGTGAATGGAATGGGGGAAACATATGGGTATGGGTCAATACCTATGAAAATACCATTTTTAATGGGATGAACATCCATTTTAACCCAGCTATTTTGATGTGAACAAAAAAGGGGTACAATTGGTTTTGACACACTGCCATATGGAAACATGACTGCGGACATCCCTTTTTTGTTCTGTAGAATCGACTAGATGATTCAAACACATGATTGAACAGATTGAAGAACTATCAAACTGGAGGTCATAGAAAATGTGCTTCTTCGTGGTAAGGCAAGAATAGGGTCCAGAACTCCAGAACCAGCAGATATCTGCAGTTCACCACTTTACCAGCTGCAAGATCCATCCCAGCCATGATCCAAAAAAAAACCATGTGCAAGATTCTATCACAAGATAGCACAAACAGCAGTCGGAAAATCACCTTTAGCACGTGTTTACGCGTTCGTTGGGGCCAGACCTCCAACGCGGTGCGGTGTTGCCGAGGGATCCGAGGGCCCGAACGGTGGATTGGTCAAAGTTGAACTGAGTCGGAAAAATGGCCTGATGACGTGGCACGGGGTTCCAATGAACTGATCCTTCCCCATAAATGGGGGTTTATAGCTCAGAAAATCGTCTGTAAATGATGGATTGCCCATTGCCATGACTACTGGAGGGGACATACATTATATGGGCAGATTAATATAAAGGATAGCCTGACATGCCATTCTCAAAAGATCTATATATGTATGCCCTCTGCTGATGAAACATTGCTGGAAGGTCGAAAATAAAACAATATGATGAATCTCAATGGCTGTAATTGGATATATATGGTAATTTCCCAATACCTGGCCAGATTAAGGGAATGGCATCATGACATCATGACAACCTCCTATATAACTAATCACATACTAATCACGAAACTGGTAAAAGCATCTGAGCCTATAATGTTGTGTTAAAAACTTCTGTCCTGGTTACAGCTGCACTCAATGATCCAGAATTTGAATACAGAATTCATCACATGACTAAGAAAAAAGGATCGACCAACTGCACAACAGCTGAGCATAAACTACTTGTGCCATCATCAAGGAAATTGTGTTTAGTCCTTTTTCTAAAGTCATGGAGAATTTCAGCCCTTTGCGCCGCAAGCTCATACTTGCAATCAACATTCTATAGCCAGAAGTGAACAAAAGTCAGTGGGTCTGGAGAAATTTTCTAGTTGAAGTAGATCTCAATAGATCTCAAATCTGGCAGTGTTTTTTCTTCAAAAAGTTCCCTCTGAAAGTACCCTTTCATGATGGTAAAGTTGCCCTTGGGCTTCCGTAGGAGGCCTCAATCTTCAGAGTATCCGCATCTGTGATGGGGGTAAACCTCAGTTTCAGCACGACACCGTTGCAGAAAAAAATGATGTGGGCCATGTTGCACCTAGATATAGTGGTGTATGGAACGGCATGTGTGGATATTGAATATATTCATATACATACGTAAGTATATCATATATATATATCCCCATCGATCTCTGGCAGCCATTATTGTGAGTGGAGAACTCAACAACCAACATTTGAAGGCAAAGAAGGTTGTGCTTCCGGGCAGTCTATAATCTTCTCCCCCTGATATAAAATATGCCCATCGAGGGACCCCAACATGAACAGTTTTAATGGGCAAAATGATGATCGACCGGATTTTGGTGATGATTTTCCGACATCTTCAGACAAAAAGCATATCATAATATACATTATAATATATAATTATAGAGTATACATATATTATATCCATATCATCAAGCAATGCCTCATTTCCATTCATGTCCATGCGGTCGTTTCCCCATTGGTAGCCCCACTTCACTTCGATGTCCGAGATCTTTCCAGCGGCATATTTGGTTCCCACTAGGCGCAAGTCCACCTCGGCGCACTTTTTGCCATGGGCGGATGGCGAAGCCATGGGCGAAAAATGTGCGAAAAAAGACGGTGCTTCAAAAAGGCTGATCCACTATAAATATCCAATAAATATGGCAGTGGGTCAAAACCCTGGTACCCCTGGTGAACATCAAAATAGCTGGTAAATGGATGTTCATCCCCCTAAAAATGGTATTAATAGGTATTGATCCATACCCATATCTAGAAATCACCAAGCAAAAATGTGGTTCCTATGTCTTCCAACAAAATATACTGTAAGTGGTTTTTTCCTAGTTGGAGCTCTCGCCACGACGTGGTCTACTCCGCGTTCGCCCCAACATGTATAATTAGCCTAAAAATGATGTTTGATTTGCCCAAACATATTTAGTTATTCAATGGTATTGAAAGATATATTTAAATAATTAGATCAATGAACATCAAGTTCCATGTTTTCTCTTCCCATACGACTCGCCCTTTAGAAGCCAACAACCGCTGTCGGTTCGTTCCTTCGCCGGCGACACAGCGCCAAGGTGCATTTTCCAGCTGCGGGTTCACCGACCAGCCCTGGAAGATGTGCGACGACTTCACCACACTGCCCTTCATGTGAGCCACCTGAGCAGTATGGCAGTCAATAGAGTGTACTCCACATCTTCGAAACGTAGATCTATGATATAGACAAAAAATACAATCAAAAACAAATAAGCAAACATACCCTCTGGTAATTTAACATAGCTATTGAAAATGGTCATTTATAGTTGATTTTCCCATGAATAATGGTGATTTTCCATAGCTATGTTAGTTTACCAGAGGGTAATATGATCGGAGTTTGTCAATGTCGACTCTGACACAGAATTATACATGAGAGTCCTATGTTACTCCAGCATTGCCATCCTCGCTGAAGCTGGCCTTCCAATAGTTGTCCGTCAGGAAAGGTGTCTTTGATGGATTCGTCGTTCCAACCTGAACCACCAGTTTAATAAAAAAACAGCATGATGTCTATAGAACACCTGAGCATCTGCATAACTGAATCTTTGATATAACAATAATTGATCCATGTTGATCCTATTTCTACCTGAGATTGAAAGCTGAACCCAGCAAACCTCCTTGAGGATGAGGACTGTTTGATGCTCTGGCAGACTTCCGGAAGGAAAACAGCGCCCGATGCTTCAATGACAGGCAGAGGGTCAGAATTCGTGGCTTCAGATCCGCATGCTTTTTCAAATTGGCCCTTGCAGACCCTGCATTGATCTTCATCAATTTCTTCATTGGTTTGGGTCCTTTCAGAAATTGATCACCAGAATATCTATTCACAATTATTCACATCCACATCTCGTCACGACTTCCGTCCTCTCGCAAGTCAGCACTGCCACTTGAAGAAAGTCGCGCCTTGAAATGCAAGTCTTGATTCTGTGGATATGCTGGATCTTTGGACTCATCAATGAGCCAGCCTCGATCAATGAGCGAAGCGGCGAAGCGCTGGCTGCCAAAAGAGCGCAACCAAAAATGTTGCCGCGGGAAAAATGGAGGGTTTTTTGTTGCTAAAAATCCATTGGCGAATCATCTAAACATGTCTAAGAATATTTTGGGAATGGATGGGAATGGTTCATTGCCAAGTTTGATATCCCCACAGGGCAAGCCTTTGGATACCGCATGGAGATGCATGGAGCAAAACAAAAGGAAAACATGAAGGATCCCCAATACTAATTTATACAAAAAACACAATGCACAAAAACACAATGCTGTTGGTGCTTTGACAACATTCCAACTGAGGATCCTTCGTCCCTGCGAGGCAATTTTGGATCCCCAATCACCCAAGACCGCACCATAACAATATTGCTGACATCTTGGGTGTCTTTAGGGTGCGATATGGTGCGATCTGTGTTAGCGGTGTCCATTGGCAGTTGCTCCATTAAAAAGCATTCCCTAGTTGATCAATTTCCCTATCTTTCCAGGTGACATAGTCTGTTATCCAAAAGGGTTCCCAGGTCTCTCCATTATATGGGTTTGTTTGACAAGAGGATACCCCTAAATCCAGTGTTTTGAAACCTCGTGTTCATATTTTTCCTGTGGGGATTGCCATAAATTCGAGCTTGAATTCCCCATCTCCCAGCAGAGCAAACTTGGAGTTGGTTGCATATCCCATATCCCCTGCCCGTCATGGACCACGTCCAAGTAGCGAATGGTGCAGAAGTTCTGCAAGTCACAGGTGCAGCCCGGCTCTCCCGTGACCGGCAACTGAACGCCGCCCACCCAGCGGAACCTGTGGCAATTGCGGCAATGACGATGGACTGATACAGACCAGAAAAAATGGAAATATTCATCACCAAATCAGGATCTAGTCATAGACTCATAGTGGAGTTTTTGGGATCTGAACTCATCTATTTTTTTCAGGGGTACATCTAATTGTTGAGTCAAACAGATACAGACACACATGGGGACATTGACAACAAATGGGGATGGTGAAGAAACAAAGTGGGAATAATGCTATCTGCTATCTGATTTATCACCAAGTCATAGAACCCATGGATTCGTCTGTAACACATGAATCGAACGTTAACAAACAAATCATACAGTATATTGATAGCAACAAAGGGGGTCTTTGATGTTATGTATATATTATATATGTGTATGTGGTACATATATATTATATATAATTATTGTTAATATTATAATTATTAATGTTTATTAACAATTATATACATAATATACATGTTGTACAATTGTACAATAGATATTGTGGTTTTGCCCAATCATGTTTCATTGCACTCATGGGCTTCAACGTGACATCAATCGGACATCATCTTTTTCGGCTGATCTGTGCCCCTGTATGGTGTCCCATGCTGTCTGGTGTCCAACCGCTGGGGGCGATGCTCATTGCAATTGGCCAGCTCTGGATTTCCGATGAGATTGAAATCCTTGGGACCTAAAAGAGACGACGATTGGGCGCGTCGTCGGTTTCCGAGAGTGACGATGGGGAGGCGAATGTTCAAAAAAAGGGGGCGAGTTTTGCTAAATAAAAAAAACATTGTGACTCATGGTGTCTGGAAATGTAACGTAGGTTTGATCTGATAGAACTCTTGGATACTCATGCAATACATGAAAATACATATATCATATTATGATATATTATGATTATATTCACTGGTGGGTGCATGAAATATCCGCAGTGTTCATTGGCTATTTATGTATTTTAAGTTTTGATAGCTCCAAGAGAATCAAAAATGGAGGCTCCCTGACCAAGCAAAATCGCAGGTCTTTGTGTATTCCGTTTATCCGCGGACCACTACAACCCATCACAATTGTGGACCACGGATTGCCATCTGTAGATCTACCTGTTGAAAGTTTAAATTTACCCACTATCAATGGTAATTTCAGGATCCTAAAATGGAGGTACTGTACCATATAAGGCCATATTTTCTGGGGATATTCCCTTACATAGGCCTTATATAGGCCTTATATATGGTAGGTACCTCCAATTTAGGTTCCTGAAATGGCCATTGACACTAGCGGCATTCCAATACTAACGAACCGCATTCAACATGGGCTGAGAACGATGCCGGTCACGAGAATCTCATCTCCATCCTGGCGATGGCTCTAGGTTTAGTATTAACTGTATCAACCATGCAATAATTGGGGGGTATAGAATTTTGATGAATTTGGATGAATTTTGATGAATTTTGATGAATTTTGATACCTGTGGTACATGTTCAAACGTGTTCAAACATGTTCAAACATGTGAAAAAACCATGTCTACTGTAGAAAAAAGAAGCGTCAACGGTTTGTCTTTTGCCTGTAAGAGATCTTTTGCGCAGTAAAACCATGTAAAACCCTTGCTCACGCTGTAAAGAGAGTTCCCATGATATCTCATCCTTTGAACTTCCCACTGATGCCAATTCTTGGATGTGTACGGATGTATTACTTAAGATAGTTTGATTAAGAAGATCAAACACATAGATTTTGCTTGCTACTAGCGACACTATCAACATCTATGTCTATGACCTGCCGGTGAAGTGGGATGCCAGCGCTGACCTTCATAGGATCTGGAAACTGCAAGAGGATGTCCACATCGTTGATCTGCAACGTGGGGCGACCCAACGGAATGTGCCCATCTGGGTATAGAAATGATGGTACTAAATCCAAAATATCCAAAGCTTGCCCAACAATGATCCTCTATACAGGACAAGTCGGGACAAGTCCCATGCGAAACTCACCTTAAAAAGATCTGGATGAATCTCAAAGCATCGTAAAATAGGTCAGACATTTCTGTAAGAATCCTATGTATACATATATATACATATATATACATATATATATATATACATATATATACATATATATACATATATATAGTATATTATACTGTAGTATATACGTACCCTATGTATACATATACATAAATATATATATATACATATACATATAGTATATTAACGTACATTCAGGAAGCCCCTCCCCCTTACAAATTGGTAACCCCATAGAGATACCATAAATCCCTGGGACCCCTGGGAGGCCGCGCCTTGGTGTTGCCATTGAGCACGTTGTTGGTATTCCTCAGGGCACGTGGATTCTAAGCGGATGCCAAAACAGTGGTGTGCTACTGTGCAAAAACGTGGTTGATTCTGTATCCACTAGGAGAAAAGAATATGAGTTTATGTCTAGATATTAGATATATTAGATTTTTATGTCAGTGTATGTGTAGATGTTATAGATTTATTAGATGATATGAGTATATGTCTACACTTATGTATGTATAAATGCACGTGACTGCAGGTATGTCTATTGTATATTATGTACACAGGATTTCACTGGAAGTCACGTGGCTTGTGACCAAACATCATGTCTTGTCAGTGACAATGTTTGAGCAACGCAGTGTGCTGGTGCTTTGGTAGACTCTACAACTCAACCTTGAATTCCCCTGGACTACCCCATGGGTCTCTAGCAACGAAGTGGATAGCAAAAAAGCATCAGAAAACCACCCGATCATTGCGGATCCTCGACTTCCAAATGCTCATATTATTAGATGAAGTAATGATATCGCAAAGCACATAATGATAGCAATAATGGTAGCACACAATAGTGATAGCAATAATTGTAATAAATAATAACAATGATATTGTCAGCGAAATTTACTACAATAAATATCAAAAACAAGAACTTACCACTTTACCAGCTCTTTCTCCTTTGCCGACACCACGAAAAAAAGGAAGAACGTTGGAACAATCGGAACAGCGAGCGACACCACTTGGAAGATGTTGAGCATGTTGTTGACGTTATAACCCACAAACTGTCGCGAGGCAGAGCGCTGGAGCTGTGGGGGGGAATCTATGGGGATCGACCGTGGGTATATATAAGTATAAGTAAACAAGAACATCATAACCACCATGATATCTTGGGCAATTACAACATACATATATGTATACAGTATATATATATATATACATATGCTAGTGTGTGTGCTGCAACTGGTCAAGTCAACGAATGTAAATTACATGTGGAGCACAATCAAACAACCATCCATCAGTACTCTCAGCTGCAATCAAAACATTTGGCATTTCAGAGGAGCAAAGGCCGATCTTTCCTGCAAAGGCCGATTTTCGCGGGGTCTGAAAGTGTAACCAAATCTCATGTTGATCATCTTGCGTATGAAAAAATGCCAGAAATTGGACGCCAATCCCCCTTCAAGAAACCCAAGTGTCTCATGCAATTGGCATTCCACAGCCAGGACACTGTGGTGTGCTTGGGCACAAGGCAGTAAAGGGCAGAGAGCTCCCAGTACACTCCAACACTCAATATTATTTGTGCATTATATGCCAATGTATATGTATTGTATATATACATATGAATTAATGCATATACATATATGTCATTCTATGCTGATGATGTTCATGATTTCAGAACTCTGATACCGAGCCTGAATACATTTCTGGGAATCCCCGATGAGGCCCTGTAGTCCAACCCCAGTGCTAAAACATCAAAAGGGATACGCTGGTCACTTCTCCCCTGCAGTCTGACTAAATGCCTCTGTTTCATCCAACGCAGTGTCTGGCTCGGCAGAAAACCTCTGGAAGGTATCCATTCGCCTCGCATGGCCGAGAGTTGCTGTCAATTCGGATGCGGACCGTTCCTTCCCTTCCACGGCGGATGCTATCTGACAGAACTACTCCCAAATCTAACCAAATCTATATATGTTTACTCTAGGCGACCAGCGGATAGAATGTGTTTTTCTCTTGTAAAATGGATAGAATATGGAAAATCTCAACACATGCTTTGGAGGGCTGCTGGGACCCGAAAAGGAAAGAACATGGCAGGGGCCGCCGGTGCAGTCCAAGCTGCCATGTAGCTGCCAGCGTAGCCGTTGGTGGGTTGAAGACCCACACGATCAAGGTGTACCTATGCTGGTTCCAGCCTTGATTCTGTTCTTCGGGGGGACACCCCGCCCAGCTGGTTTCAACTCTGAAGTCAGTACGGCATACCCTCCGACACATGTTTTTCGCAGTGAAAATGCAATCCTTGCATTGCAACATGCGGATGTTCTTTTCAGATACTTCTCATACAATCATTCCCTATTTTCACGGAGGGCAATATGAGTTGCGTTTCCAGTGGAGCACGAGAAGGCGCCACGAACCGTTTTGTCTCCAGCCATGTACAGCAGCTGCTTCACGGTGTTTTCGACCTGCGAAATCAGACTGTGAATACAGCTGAAGGTAGGCGAGAACATAATATACATGAACCGGAACATATCATACCTCATGACATGACATTTCACAAGCCATATGCATTGATTAATCAAATATTACATAGAGATTTGCACCAAAATTATGTATAACCAATACATACCAATACATCTAGAATCTATATTTTTCATTCTCATTCTGCAGCAAATGAAGTCTCTCTTCGTGCTGACGTGCATGAAACAAGACATTCAGCCTGTGGTTGGCTGATAGTCCGGCAAAAATTGCGCCGCAAAATTCACTCGCGATTGGAGTGAAACTTGGCACAGCCAGTCACGTTCTCGCTCTCCGAGCTGAGTCACGTGCTGGATAGAATCTCCATGTCGGCGTCGGCGCTGGGCAAGGCCCTCAAGCATCGTAGCAACCAGGGCCCGGCAAAGGCCTGTGGGGTACTCTTTCGCCTGCGCTGTGCGAAAGTCCCCGGTGCCAGTGTCCAAACCAGCTAAGACACTCGTAGGCCTCACAGCGCCTGGAACTTCATGTCGATGGAGAATCCCAGCCGCTCGAGAGATACCCATAGTGCGCAGAACAGTGGGCTTGACAGCCGTCGCTCCAAACTTCCACTGTTGGATCCGCACCTGCTGCGCACATGGAGCTGTAGAGCAAAGGCAGCGTTGCAGATCCGTGCGCCAAACACTGGCGTACGTCTCGTCATCATGCGGAGCTGGATGCTCCTGAATGGCAGCTCCCCCTCGTAGGACAATTTTGATTTCGATGTACACATTCGACATCATCAGGGCGCTTCCTGTAGCCACCTGACGTAGCTCTCGATGCGTCAGGTAGCTCAAACCCCAGGGCCTGTCAGACGACCTGAGAGGTCGCGGCCATCATCGACCATCGGCACAACCTTCCGGTGGCGGTAAGTGCCTGGCCGCACTCCATGTCTCACACGGAGGGCCGGATAAACTTCCGGCCACGATGCCAGCGTCCACCACTCCATGTAGCGCTCGAAGGCCTGGTCCTTGGAGTAGATCACAAAGATCGCCTCCCACGGCTGTGTCGACGGACAACAGCAGAATATCCAAGTCCTCAAAGAAGTCCTTGACTAGACGATGTGCCCAGTCATGACAGTCTCCTTCTCTCCTGCGCCCTGAAAATAAATGCAAAATGACCAGCACTCGTCACCCATCCTCCATCTCGCAGACTGGAATACCTTTCTGCTGCGGCCACTCAATGACTGGAGCATTGGCAACAAACTGCATGGCATCTCGCATCTGGTCATATACCGAAAGAAATGGTTCAATGGCAGCCTGCTTACGACCATCTTCTGCAGGGGCAGGCGGAGTAGGTTCATTCCATCCAGATCCATCAGCTGGAGGGACGGCTCGATGAAGCTTCTCCAGTCGGTCAATAAGGTCAGAAACAGGCAAGTCACCCAGTAGTTCCAAATATTCGGTCTCAATGAGGGCGAATAAGTCCAAATCATCCGTTTGCTCTGGCAGCTCATAGAGACATTCTCGCCCCCATAACGCAAAAGACCAGATTGCATGATGATGTGCTTCTTCACCACGATCACGATAGGCATCAATGATGTGACACCAGAGATTAGATAGCGGCGGCTGCTCAGCTGTCCAGGTCAGTGCCACATGCGTCATGGATTGGTGCACCTCCTCACAAATTGGCATTGAAAGGTCATCAGGAAACCCATGTCGACGCCAATCTTCGGTCCATAGATCCCATTGCCGCTGCATTTGTCGATCCCACCGGGTAGAACTGTCTGGTTGAAGTGGTCCAGCAACAGAAGTGTGAGGAAGTCGGTGCTGTCCTTTGTAGATGTCAGGCATCTGCACTGGAAGCGGTTGGTCCAAGGGGTCAAGGTGCTTAGCCAACCACCAGTAGCAGCCTGTCGCATGCCGTTTGGAGTAGCGCAGGTGTTGTTGAAGACGTTGGGCCGTCCAGAAACATCTTCGGCAGCATTCACAAACTCCAGAGAAAACAAACTTACGTTCCTCGGAAAATTGACCATGCTTTTTCCAGCGGTGAGCTGTCAGGCCTTGGACCGACGAAAATGTCGCAGGGCAACTGTTGCACGCAAAATGACCACCTACCTGCATGGGATGTTGATAGGTGTCAAAATCAACTCCGCCATCTCGGCACGCTTGTTGAATCTTCCTATGCATCTCAATGACATGGTGAGCAGTTTGTTCTTGCGTCAAATGCCGCGCAACAGCATTACGTACCAGGGCAGGTTTGGTGTGTGAAGAGGTGCGCAGCCATGTGGTCAACTCTGGAAGGGTGCAATCAGGTGATGGAGCATCCGCTTGCATAGTGCATAACCATCGCAGAGCATGGCGCACTCCAGAAAGCCACGATGTAGTGCAAAACTCATCTTCAGCGGTGGCCATCTCCCAAACACATGCAGGTGCTGTTCGGTGCAGCTGTATCAAGAACAGCAACCTGTGCTTGGCTAACCGCACAGATAGGCAAGGGAGACGCCAAGCTGCACGGAAAGCATCATCTGTCATCTGAGTGTCACTCCAGAATCCAACGCCTGCAATTTGTCTTTGCCAACGTGTAATCACGGCTGAAAGTCGCTGGTACTGCCGCACTGAAAGAAGAGGCCAGCTACCACAACCATAGAAAAGAATGGGCAAAACCAGAGTGTCCAGCAACTTCAGTCGAAGAGAGACCTGCAACTTTTTGTTGTGAAAGAGAGGACGGGCCATAGTTCGAAAGGCAGAAGTGGCCTTGCCAATCTTGAAATTCAGGTCTGCAGTGACATCGAAGTTTTGAGCAACCTTAATGCCCAAATGCGTGTACTGTGCAACGACTCGCAAGGCATCTCGTCCAGGCACTTCCAGCATTCCGTACCCATCAATGAATCGGTCTCGGCGCAGCTGTGGTGCATTGGCGCCTCGGTACTGGACAATGGCTTCAGTTTTACCTGCTCCACAATTGAGGCGCAGCCCATACGCTTCAAAGGTTTCATGCATAACTTCCATTGTGCATTGGAGCTGCTGGTCTAGGCAGTCAGCCCGAAGACACGGCACAGGCAATGCCACATCATCGACCCATGCCAAGAGTGGGGCCTGACAATTGAGTAGGGCGTATGCCTGTTGGGTCGATGGCATCTCATCAATTCGACACTGCAAGCGTTTCAGAAGAGAGCTCATCATTGCATTATAGGCCAAATCGGCAATGGGTGATCCTGGACGGGAGCCTCTGGTAGTGGCAAAACATTTGGTGCTACCTGGGCATGTGAACCATGTGTCAAGGTGAACGTCCCTCATGACACGGGCTACGGCAGGTGGGGCTGCAGCAAAGTCTTGTGCATGGGCTGTAAGGTCGCGGGCCAAAGCTTGCACATCAAGACCTTCATTCAGTAGAGCTTCCAGCAACACTGGAGGAAGCTCTGCGGCAGTGCCAAAAGCGTGTTGGCGAAGAAGGCAATGGAAAGCGCTTCGCACGTCAACGAAAACTATAGCCAATGACATGTTTTGAGACTGAACATATCGGGCAAAGCATCTCAACATCAACGTGGCAAAAATGGTTTGCTGCCCCTTGTAGCCTCCAAACTGCGTAGCAGTGCGGACTGATGACGCCCACGGCAGCAGCTTCTTGCGGACCAACGCGTGGAAAAGTTTTCCGAGAGAATCTAATAGCATGATCCCCCTCATCGAGGCTGCTGAAGTGGCTCCACTCTTCTTCGCTATCCAGCAAATTTTTCCACCTTTGAAAGACAAAGGCTCTGCAGCTAATGTCCAGATCTTAAAGAGCAGTGCATAAAAGACTTCGGAGTGCTGCATCATGCATTGCTGGAGTACTTCGGCTTGAACTCCGTCCAGACCTGGAGCTTTTCCCTTCTTGGCAAGTCTGCAGAGGGATTCAACTTCAGTGCGCGTGGGAATCTCATGGAGGGCCATTTGCAAGGGTAGATCTTCGCCCGCTTCTTGCTGCCGCTGTGCACACGCTCGCAACAGGCCATTGTACGAAGTCTCAAAGCCAGCCTCAAGGCTGCAGTAGTGCTGGGTTAACTCTTCAACTTGAGGCCCCATGCAGCGGGTACTGGATTTGCGCTTGGCGATACCCTTAGGCAGAACAGCACGAATGTGTCTCCAGAGGCCTGTCAGACCTTCATCTGCGGCAACTTCACTCTGCTTTTGCACAAGCTGCTCATAGTAGGACTTGTCGTCACTTCGAACTGCTCTCAGGACTTGAAGACACAACCGCTTGTACTGCCAAGAATGAAAAGCCATTGTGCAGTCGCAAAGCCTCATCCAAGGGCGAAGGCAACGTACTTCATCTGAAACGTCACGCTGCTTCCATCCTTGAAAGATCTCACGCAGCAAGGCAATGCGTTGCGTGTGTCTTAGCTGCCGGCAACGTTTCCAGTGCCACTTCTTCTGCTCAATCAAGGCCCATGTGGAGTCTTGCAGATGTCGTTTACGTCGGCATCTTGGCTGGGCAGGACAGAGGTGTTGCATCCAGCTCTGAACGCGACCAGCATGGGTATGGACATTGGTCTTCCAAGACGGGTTTGGGAGATCTTGAAGTCCTTCCCGCTCAGCACGGCTACTTTGGTGTTCACCATGACGGAGTCGCACTTGGCAGGTCAATGGAAGCGCAAGTACCACCGGGGCATGGTCAAGCTTCTGAATCGTCAAGTCAACGTCAGCAACATGAGTGCGTAGACCTGGAGACCGAAGAGCTTGGTCAATTGCAATGTAATCAAGGCGAGCCCCGGTGCCAGTGCTGTGGAACCATGTGTGATGAGGTCCTTCATGGATATCGTCTTCAGTCTGCGGCAAGAAGAGCGAGTGCTCATGGAGCCAGGTGTGGAAGCATTCGCCAGCCACATTTTCTGGCTCGGCACCAGCGGGGCCAACACATGGTGAGGTCTCCGTGCCTAATCTGGCATTTGCATCGACCAGAACAATCAGCTTCCATGATCGATAGGCAGCAGGAATTGATGTGGTGAGAGACTGCCAAAACTGCGTAGCTTCCGTAAAGTCAGAGCAGGCTGGTGCATGGGCAACTACAAAAAGGAGTCTCAGTCCATCTTTGCAAAATCTCACCACCAACCGTTGTGCAGTGGCATGGAGGATATGTAAGTTGCCGGCATCAATGGAAATAGAGCCTTGCGAAACTTTCCATTGAGTTCGAATCCACAACTGGACACCTCCAATCCCTCGCGAAGTGGCTGGAGAGGAAAGGACATGAAAACCTTCGCAACGGGTGTGACCATGAAGGCGGGAGCGCGTTTCTTGCACACCCACGACATCAATGCTCGCAGCTGCAAATGACCGTAAAAGAGATTCCATTCGAGCAGATACACCTGTGCCATGTTCTGCTTTGTTGGGGTGCAAGGTCAGCACATTGGCAGTAGCACACTGTAAAATGATGGAAGTAGTGACACCCTCCGAGGTCGGTTGGTTTTGACACTTGGCCATGGGGTGATCAGCATCATCTGGAGGATCAGCAAGTGGAGCTGAAATGTTGAGTTGCATGATCCCATCACGTAAAAATGGATACATTGGATCACCACGCTGGGCAGCTTCAAGTAGCCAAAGCCAATGCGTATCAATCTGCTCTTGCAAGACGCCCCACACTTGTGCAAAGGATGGGGAATCAATCCATCCTGCCACCACAGCCCATGTGATCGCATCAGCAGCTTCATTCCATGCTTGCCCTGAATGTGCATACACATGGTGCCAATGGGTTTGCACCGAGAATCGTCGCTCAATCCACTGCACTAGAGAACGTGTGGTACTCTGAAGATCTGGGTGAGCTTGAATACGCCAGCTTCCATTGGCAGTGTAGCCAGCTACCAGACAGTCAAAAACGAAATGCAGTGTTGGGGAGTGAGCAGTAAACATCTCTGAAAGCTGCGCAGCCCAAAGCACTGCCGTCAAGACACCAGTCATTTCAGCTTGCGGGGCATATGCACCTTGCTCCACTACGTAGCTACGGAATCCACCAAATCGGTCTCCTTGGTGGGTGTGGATGATCAACACAACTGCAGCAGCTGCTTTGCGTTCACGGTCAAGGTATGCAGAGGACCCATCAGTGTAGAAGGAAAACCCAATTGGTGTCTCAATCGTCCAGTTGGGGGTCAATGTAAAGGCCTCTTGGGTTGCTTCATGCCACTTGACCAGTTGGTCAGCATATTGAATTGGGCCAAGCTCGAGGGCAAGGAGCTCACTACCAAGGGCTTGTACTCCACGGAAGTCAATTGTGAGATATGTTGGTGGGTCAATCAAAGCAGCAAGATTCAACTTTGGGGGCTCTGCAGATTGTTGCTGTGTCCGTGGCCGGTGATCGTGAGCCACCGAATCACCTGTTAGGCGCTCACGTAACACAGCATTTTGGACATCAGATCGGGAAGTTGGAGGCATTCTCACAACGGAAGTCTGCAAAAGGGTCATGTCTTCCACATTCCGTGCTGGGGCAATGACGACAACATTGTCTCCTGCATCAGCATGTCCAAGCCCATATTCTGGAACACGGCGCCCATGGGTTTCAACGTAGCACCCACGACCTTGACATACTCGCTCCAGGCGCAAGGTCTGCAAAGTTTCCTGTGGAAAAATGGGTCCGCAGAAAGCATGCTGCATGTGAAAGTCGTCGTCCCAAAGCTGACTCAAAGATCATGGATATCAAAACTGGTGAATGATCTGGTAGTTGGCCTTGAACCATCAAGATGTGTCCAACATGGGTCTGATATGGAGCCTTCGGGGGCTCAGGCATCACGACATAGATCTGGGTCTCAAGGTATGGTTTCCACTGATCATTCCATAGTTGACAAAGATCATGGTACCACAGGTGTTGTTCCATGTCAAGGCGAATCGATCTCGATTCTTCAGATCGTAGTCGAAGAGGAGCAGAAAGAAACCATGTGATCCATTCCACTGTGGCAAACTCTTCATCGCCAAACAGGTCAGCTTTTTGCAAATAAATCATACCTGCAGGCAGCAGCCAATCTTGACGACTTCCGTCTTGCGGGGCCAAAAAGCTGGAATGCTCTCGTTGAGGCACACCTACTGGTTGTGCTTGAAGTTCAGGCCTGTCAGAGCTATGCACGATCAACTTCAAGTTCTCATGAGGAAGTTCCTGAGAAACCAGATCACTGTTGATGTATAGCTCAGGATGTACTTGTGCAGGACACTGAAATGGTTGGACATCAGGCGCTAAGTCGGCACGGTATTGCCGTTCGATGCGGTCAATCGTGCAGAGTGTGCCATCATCAGATTGCATAGGCGGAGGGACGACTACTCTGAGATAGTCACCATGTTGGAGCAATCGTGGTGCAAAATCTTGAAGAGGCCAAAGTTGATCATTAAGGTGCACGAGACAACGATCACCTTGATGCTGACAATAGCGGAATACACCCGCATGCATCAAAATGTGTGCACGTACCACATGTTGTAAGACTCGGCACACTTTGCGAGCCACATGAGGTGTAGCTGGTAGGACTTGTACACCAGGGTGCTGATGAATCTCCAGGTCCAGCAATATAAGCTTGTCGCTGGAACCAACCGGGATGTCCACGGCATGTTGGAGAATCACAACTGCTTCAGCTGGTTGTTGGCCCACAATCGCAACATGAATCGGATGGTAAGTGATGATCTCATCAATCGGAATCCGCAAACGATTCGCAAGGTCAACCACGACTTCAACATAGGACTGCCATCGGATGTAGAGATGAACAGGGTCATCTTGTAGCCGGTATACAGTCACTCCTTGCAGATTTTGGAGGTCAACAACCGCTTCTTGTGCTGAGGGACTGTAACCATTGGAGTCATTTTCAATTTCAGCATCCTCAGACTCTGACTCAAGGGAGTCCTCCTCAGGGATATAGTGAACAGGCGGCGCAGGCACATGTTCTTGTTGTGGCAGAGGAAGCCCCGGAACTTGGTCAGAGCTTGCAGCTATTGCTGTAGAATGAAAATGAAGGGCAAACGCTCGTCCATTGTCCATGACATGCAGTGGTTGCATATTGATGGGGATTTCCGTCCAGCGATAGAACACATGGCATCGATTCTGCTGGCAGGCATCTACCATATGTACGACATTGACAAGTTGCAATCCACGAACTTGAAGGGGAAGGAGCGCTGCCGCTGCCCAGTATTGAAATGGCTCAGTAGCAGACATAGCTGTTACCAGACCTGCTTTGCGAAGATCGCTGTCACCCTGCACAATCAAAATGTCATATGCAACATGAGCAAAATGTTGTGGTCGTGGCGGATCTGGTTCAGCAACATGAATTTCAATGCGTTCTCCCTGCCAAACAAGGTCAATCCACAACGCAAGGAGTTGGTTGCGCCAAGAATGGGCATTGCCGACCAATTGTATGAGTCGAGGAAGCTCGCAATGGTGTTGCTGCTCATGATGTAGAAACCACGTGCGCAAAGTCATGCCTCTATCCCAATCATCGTCTACAGCTGTTCTGTCACCAGTCAGAATGTGTCGAGCAAAGTTGGGAAGGACTGGAACTGCAACGTTTGCATCAGGTGGGAAGTTGATTGCACCAATAGGAATGTCATGTTCATGTTGGGGTGCATCAACTTGCGCATCTGTTGGCAATCTAGATTGGAAAAATGGAACTGGTGTCAACGCATCGCTAGGGATCAACGCAGAGTCCAAAGTGGCTTGCGGATCGCTCCAAGGTGGGTTGAGCACATATGCAAGGTGCCAGGGCATACAGCCTGTACCAATCAAATCCTGTGGAACTCGGGTGGGAAACATGGTGATCTCATCTGCCAGGCCAATGTAAACTTGAACGCTGTCAGCAAAACCCACATGCTGACGTCGTTCGGAACGTGTATTGCGCTTGGCAGTGAAATATGAGGAGCTCTTGAACAGGGGCGTGATGGCAGGAATGTTGGCAATCTCAACCTCCAATTCCAAGTTTCTCGCACTCTCACGCGCTCCCCATTCCGAAAGGAATGACTCCTCTTCGAGGATGCTGTGGCTCCACTTTCTGGCCAAAGTGGCCGCAGAGCAAAAGGTTCCTGGCTTCGGGTCAGAATACCCTAAGGTCATTGCTGACCAGCCTTGCCAAAAGGCTGCATAGATCGCAAGGGCGGACTTTCCATGCTTTCGTCTTTGACCTCGGTTGTCTCCATTCTGGCTCTCTTTGCAATAGGAACTTCTGCGTCCAATGCAGCAGCTTCTGAGTGCAGCTGCTGAAGAGAGCTTGCCAAATGCTGGATGCTCATGGTGACCTTCTCCACTGAGTTTCCATTGGTGGCGCCTTCCTCCAGAGGTTTCTCCTCCTCGGTGAGGTCCACTACAACTTCGCCAGCATCTTGACGAGCTCGATCCAAGTCCTTCTTGGCCTGGGCAAAGAGCTCCTTGGTCACAGCGATGCGTTCCTGGAGGTCGTTCTCGTGCTGCAAAAATTGCTTCGCAAATTCCTGCCAATCTGCAACGGCTTTTGCCAAGAATCCTTTCCATGCCTGCAGATGCTGTGCACGCCCAAGGAGAGCTTGTTCGTAGTCTTCTTTGGCACGAGTCATCTGTTCTGCTGCAGTGAAAAGATCTTGGGTTGCTTTCGCACCTTCGTGCTTGGCCATCTCCTGTTGTACATCGGGAGGCAAAGCGGACTTGCGCTGCCTGATGTACGCCAACAGCTTGGCTTCTGGTTCTGGCAGCTGTGGCGGAGCTTGCATGGCCATCGGGATTTGCATCGCCTGCTGTGGCATCGCAGGCACCGGCGTCATTGCCGCAGTCTGTGGCATTGACGGCATGGGTGTCGATGGCATAGTCGGCACTGGTGTCATAGCTGATGGCATCGCAGTCATCGGCGGCATCATCTGCATAGTGGGACTGATCGTCATAGATGCAGCCCATGGAACGGCAGGCGGTGGCAATGGTGGTTGCGGGAACGTTCCATCCATGCCTTTGCCTTGATGATGCATCTGCGGGGCCCCTTTTCCTTGAACATCCTGTCCTTGTCCACGACCTCGCTGTTTCTTCGCACTGCGAGGACGTTGTCGATGTCGAGGAGAATTGGCCCGATTTCGTGGCGATTGATAGCCTGTTTGATCCCATTGGGAATAGTCCCAAGTGCCCTGCTGATTCCAACCGGTCGCATACGACTGCTCCTCGGTCTTGGTAGCACGAACTTGGTGCACATAGGTGGGATCGATGCAGGCTTGCCAGGGAGTCTGACAGATGGGACAAAACTGTGCGGTATGTTTCCTCAGTTGCATGCACCGCTTGCATCTCCATGGTGTCGTGTCGCTGCCCTTCATGGCCTCCTTGATGCGCTTCAAAAACTGGTCGTCTTGGGAGTGATGGCCTTTCAAGGCAGTTAGGATAACCCTCAACCTTGTCGGACTCAGCCGAAGAAAGCCTCTCCGATGAAGATACCAGGCCCGCCGAGCGTTTGCTCTGGCTCTGCGTTGAGCTCGTCGCCAAGTGGCCAATGCCGTGGTGGTCAAACTGGAGGAAGAAGGACACCACAATCAGAAAGCGCCACACCATGCACCAACCCGGGTTTGGTAACGCAGCCGGGACTGCAGATCAGGTGATACCCCTCCAAGGGGCAGAGCACTGCAAACGTCCACCAGGGCGTGCCAGATCAGTGGAGCTGCCAAGGCAAAAGGAAGATTGCCCGCGGGGTGACAAATCGCAACCCCGCTAAGGTCGAGAGTCAGCGGTCGGGGGCAATTCCTACCTTGATCTCAAAACCTTTAGAATCTATATACATGTATAAATACATACATGTATATAATATATATATACATATTATATATATATACAAAATAATGTGTGTATATATATACATACGCCAGTAATGGTTACAATTGTAAAAGTGTTATAAACCAGTTCTAATTGCCACGGTGTCGTGGTCCGCAGAGATTCTCCAGGCGACAAATATTTTTCGTTGTAGCCCATGGGGCCCATGGCATCAAAGGTTCAGGGGACAGGTGAGCCATTAAAAATACCCTGGTTAATTGATTGCTATAGGGGATTATACTACCTGGTTTACTGGGGATTATGATAACCCATAGTAGGGAAACCTATCAACCAACTAGTATAATGACTATAATGAGATGGGATAGGGGTATTTTTAATGGCTCAGGTGGCCTATGTGGATCGTGGTTTGATGTCTGAGTTCATCTGATTAAATCGAGAAGTTCAGCAACGAAAAACACCAGGATTTGGCGCTTAAATGGGACAAATGTGTCATGGACACACGGCCAATGTGGAAATCCCCTATCGAGCGAAAACCATGATTTCTGGGGGCTGCTTCAGAAAACCTATGGACCTTGCCATGTCCCATGTTCACATGTGGAACATCTATGGTAGTCTATGGTGGTAATTACATGTACTTACCATTTCTTCCGCAGCATGAAAGCGGGATCAACCCTTGCATGTGCTTAAGAACCCCTCAATTTCTCTTTTGGAAAAGAACTTACTCTATTCTCCAGTCGTAGTGGCTTTCCCACTGAGAATAAACAGAAATAAACGACAAACCGCAAATCCAAGATAGCTGGTTTTCCCGGCATTTCCCAGCTATAAACCTCCATTTACATCCATTTATAATTAGATTTTTCCGATATTTTTTTCTTTTTGGCCCTGCGAAATCGTTGCAAATCCCCCGTTCCGGCACCTGGCACACGTAGTCCGTGCTTTCAAAGATTTCGGAGCGATCGCTGATGAAGAGCTGGACCTAAAGTCGGCGCCGACTTCAGCAAGGTAGATTGGGTGTAATTAAGTAACCACGGGTGCCAGATGTTTTTTGGTGTGCACTTATACTGTATTTAGATAAACTATTGGTAGGTATCATTAGGTATCCATTCCATAGATATACTTTTTGGATTATACTGTACTACTATATGTTTATTGGTAGGTATACGTAGGTATCCATAGATCATGGGATATATATAATATATACACAAGCAACAACTACGGGGCGTATAAACCGAAAACATGGGGATTGTTCCAACAAGAAGTGGGTAATTATTTGACCCCACAAAATGGTATCAATGGAAGCACACCCAAAATTGGGTTCTTATTCAGACTCAAACCAGTTGAGTATTCGCACGCAACATGTTTTGTTTTTGGGGATGTGAATGAGCGGGAACAATGCTGCCAAAGGCCCGTGAGGACAAAACCAATACATACCCATTCCCAAAATGTCCACCATACTTCTGGGCACAGTCCCATATTGATTCACAAACCAGAATTAACGCAGTGTTCGTTCAAAAATATGTTGTTTCATGGAAAAACCTGGTTCATGTTGGAATTTCACGAATGGATAGTCGTCCCAAACATTGGTGAGTATATGTTAGTATGATGCTGTCATGAAATCACATATACTGTACTATTATTAAATCCACATATGGCTGTGAGTATATTATCCACATATTATTACTATATCACCAAATATTCATCAATCATGTGTGAGTATAATCAACATTAATCATCATTAATCCACATTTTCACCAGGGTCACAAGGGTCACATGGCCGGCCTCACAGGTCTGCATGTTGTCGTTCTGGTGCTCGATTTCATACTCGACTGGCACCTGGGTTCACCCGGTTGCTATTTCACATGCTATAAGTCTATTAGAAATTACTACAGTATACAGTGATTCATTTATAGTTGGATAGATAATTATAATTGTTATACTATGTTATACTATGTCATACTTATGTTTGAAGTCTACTATACACTATTATAAGTCTTATACAGTTGGATGATAAGTATTATAGAGTTGGATAGAGAATTCAAATTCAAAAAAGAGATAAGTAATTAGAACAGAGGTTGAGAATGTGAAATGTGATATATGTGATACATGCCTAGACATGATGTTACCGACAAGTTCTCAGGTACAGCGACAATGCAGTGATAGGGAAGATGACTGCGCACATGTCAATTTGCAACGCAATCACCAAAAAGACCTGAACAGTTTCATATGTTTCATTGATGTCGAAGGCCCTGGAAACCATGGCATGCCATGCATCTTCGCTTTTTAGGTCTGGATCAATGGCTTCAATGGCATGACCCATCCCTAAACTACACGGAAGTTGACACTGTAAAACATCGATGTTTTGAGGTATAGCTAGCAGCTAGCCATGTATTTTTTCATAGAAATCAATATCATCTGTTGTTGCAATATCATATCCCAATATGTGTACGTATATACATGATTATACATGTATATACTACATATATCTCCATGGAATGCTTGGGTTTATACTATAGTTTATGCAGTACCCCCACATCCCCCATGTTGGTTGGTTAAATCCTCATAAATGCCTTAACTCCCATGATATTCATAGGTGGTTTTCTAACCACATACCCTCTTGTAATAACTGAAATCGCCATGGAATCCATGCCCCATTTGTAGATGATGTGCCCTTTTATAACATGCCCATTTTCCATGGCCATGGTGGTGCACAAAGCAGAGGGTAACCCTATTGAACTATTGGTTCCATCCCAAGCCATCGCCGTCCGCATCACCGCGGCCAAGTATCTGTTAGGCGGATCATGCCGCCATACTGCTCATTCGGAGGTTTGGCCCTGGAGGCTTTTGGGGGGCAGTAAAAATCTCTTGGGCATGGAGATTTGGTGGCGATTCTTTGGAGATTTATTTCTTGCGGGGATTGAATCTGCAAATTTTAGAGTGGATGTTTATTTGGAAGAGCATGGAAGATCATTTTCCAGGGGAAAGGGGACTTCATCCAATCCCAAACCCTCCGGTAAACGTTTACATAACTATGGAAAGATCCACCATGCTATCTAGCTGGGAAAATCCACTATGTCGACTGGGCCATTTTCAATAGCTTTTTCTATGTTTACCAGGCCGGGTAAACCATCCTAAACCAGTGTTCTAGCAAGGTAGTTAGATCTACTTAATAGGGCCAATAGGGGTTAAGTTTGGAGGATCATCCCACGATATTCCCACGATATCGTGCGAATTTTCGTGGCGAATTTTGAAAAGGTCCCCTTGAACTCAGCCAGGTATCCCAGGTATCCATAGGTATCCATATAATAGTTATATGGTTATAATAGTTTGTATAATATGGTTATTATATGCTTATTATATGGTTATATTGTAAGTCGGTAAGCCCAGTTGCTAACCCCACTGCTGAGATCTGCTGTCGTGAAAAAACAAAGGGCGAATCTTTCACCGGGCTTCCGGTAGTAAGGAGATTTTTCAGCAAAAACAGCAAAAACAGATGAGGATTCCCGGATTTGTCGCTGCAGTTTGACGAATTTTTGGTTGGTGAAAATGTTGAACCCAACTGATGGGCTTCGAATGGTTCTAACATGTTCAAACCATCCACTAGTGATATGGGTGGATTCATTCATATTAATTACTTACTGTAAGTAGTCAGAACAGAAAGTTAAAGTGTGTACACCATCGGCAGACGCTGAGACTTGGACGGAACTGTGTTGAAGGGCGTGAACACGATGGTTACCTTATATCAGGAGAGTTTATGTGGGAGCCACAGATGCAGTTGGGAGAATTGCTGCAGATCTTTCAACTTCTTTGTGACTTGTTGCATCATGAAACGCGAAAGGTGCACAACTTCTTGGAGCCCCTGCAGGAGTTGCCGTTCGCGGAATGCCAGCCTTGCACTAACACTCCCATCATGCAAAGAACAATTTTGAGAAGAACAGAGCGAACAGTGTAGGCTCAAGTCATCTTCTCAAACGTCCAGCTTGAAGTTCAGTATGTGACAGTATTTGCATATTTGATCAGATGTTTGACTTCAAAAACCGATTCAATACTTGGGATAATAAATTGACCCTATTCAGTATGTCCCTAGGTTCATGCTGAATTGAGCATCAGTAGGAGTATCGCATCACCAAGGCTCAACATGTGCAACTGCTTGGGGGGTTTATCCATTCAGGTTTGCTTTGCTCATAAATACAGTGCAGTCTTGGTAGATTAAAGCATTCTCCCATCATTGGCTGCTTTCAGAGCTCATGGCTTCCCTCTTGCCTCTAGGACTCTAGGACTACGCAGAGTAGACATAGTATGTGTGTTTTACATTTGGCAACAGAACCTAGCTCGCACCCTCATATCTCTGGTGAATGACATGTAGAGATTTATGTATATATATATATATGTATTAATATAGTGTGTATATATATATATAATTACCTACAATACAATCATCTCAGAATCATCTCAGAATCGTGTCCATTAAATATTCAAAATCATTCAGTGTCACTTTGTATAACTGATATGGTAATTTAACATAGCTATTGAAAATCACCATGCTATTAATGGGAAAATCCACTATGTCTATAGCCATTTTCAATAGCTATGTTAAATTACCAGAGGGTATATCCCATTAATATACTATTGAATCACTATAAAATCCCATTAAATCACTATAAATAGATATGGTATATATATATAACCATCCTTCCGAAGCAGGTGGGAAATCTCGGGCAGCACCCTGGGCGTCTTCATGGCGCCCACTGCGTTGATGGCCATGTTGGTGAAGGTCCACACCCTGATGCCAGTCTTTTGCAAGCGAAAATGTTAGCTCTATGTAATTATATAACATCATGTATACATATATATATAATGTATTCACGCGGATATAAGATTATGTATATGTATATATACACATTAGTATATATATATAACTTAGTATATATACATAACCTGTTATACACATAATTGCTATATAATCAAAAATATAATGTACGTATGAATCCACAATGAATTCACCATGTTTTGGTATGATTGCATGGGGATGACTTGATGCGGATGATTTAAAGATGAAAAACTGGGATTTAACAATGACTTAAGCAATAAACATGGGGGTCTAGTCATTGAAAAATGACAACAGTGGTGATCAATCTGTGGATTTGTTGATTTGGACCAGCCTACTCCTCGAAAGCAAAAACATGGATCGAACCAGCAAAAAACTCGAGCATCTACATGGTTCAAGTATATTTTTCCGGGGTCAAAACATTGAAATTTAGGAGATTCAATCCAATTTCATGTCATTGGCTGGACCCCCAGCCACCAAATCAACTAATGTCAACCCTAGGCTGTTGAATTGGGGTATATCAATCAAGTATTATATTATGACTACTTGGAGGCTACCTCCATAATATCCCATTATTAAACCATGGTAAATCAGAATCCGGGGTTGACATCAACAGGAGATCATTTTCCCGGACGCCGACTTGGGGTACCTGGGTACCTACAACCACGGTGGTAACAAGCCCTGGGTTCTCGGGCGTAAATCCTTGGAACGGATCTGAGGATTCATCGTTGAAATTCATGCTCCATTTGTTCCTGCGCGTGTCACCCGAACGGCCGAACGGATGATGATACGGTGGGTAGGGTTGGTGGTATGGGGAAAGAATCGCAGGTAGAAGGTGAATGGCTGCTCTATGTTGGTTGTGATGGTGAGGAAAAACCCTTGAGATTCAGAAGCAACACAAAGGCACGGAATGGAATCCAATGGAGGGGGAGTAAATGAGTAGCAAATGAATCATACCTAGTCAATGAATGATAGTAATAATGAATAAACATCAACTAAATCTCATGATAAGAAGCCAGGATTGGTTGCGACAAAAATGGTAAGGCTTCAATCTGCCACTTGCCAAGAATGACTGGCAGCGAAGCAGCTTCTCGAGAACGAGCCACATGTTGATGGGTCCAATCATATACGGACATGATGTGTCAAAAATAAACCCGATTACTATTCCCAAATATGTGGGGATGGGTCGAGAATGGGCTAGCAATGGACACACACACACACATTGAACCAGTCATTTTTTAACGGACGATATCTTGACACCTGCTCAGATGCAAATATACCATCCACAAATGGTAGGGCAGCACTCTTCAAAATAAAGCTAAGCTAACATGATGGAGTTCACCAAAAAAAACAAAACAAAACAAAAGCACTTCATCCGTCCCTACTTTACTCCAGACCTTCCAAGTCGTTTGAAAGTTAATTATCCTTCCTTCAGGTGGTATCCTAGTATTGGAACTAGGTGCTTGCAGGAAACTGAGAAAAAACAAAAAAAAACATCATCATCATCATCGTCATCATCATCATCATCGTCGTCATCATCATCATAATCATCATCATCAAGTATCATCAAGTATCATCAAGTATCATCAAGTATCATCATCATCATCATCATCATCATCATCATCATCATCATCATCATCATCATCATCAAGTATCAAGTATCAATCGAGTGTGTTGACTCATGTCCAAATAGCACAATGATCATCCAACAACCCAGTAGAAACAGATAGAAACAGCCTGCTGCTTTCACTCCCAAGGTGCCGCCCAAATTGCCAGGTACCCCACCAGTCTGGAGTCGAAGGTGGGTTGTTGCGCACTCCAATGCGGAAAACATAGAGACCTGTAGGGATTCTGGATGGGAAATTTAGGCCTTGAAATACTGGGAAAATAATATAATGATACAGAATGGGGCTGTTTTCTTCAATTTTCAGGAATTAATGGGATTTCACGAATACAAATTGTGGTTGAATGGAATTCCAAAAGATTAGGATACAACCAAAAAACCTTGGGATTTGAGGTAAAAAAAAACACCATGATCAACCATCATCAACCATGGTATAGGACGGTATATCACCAAAAATGTGATATGGATTTGTCTGGCGCCAAGGTCATTAGGGGGAAATGATCATTTACCAGTGGATTCGGGATATTTTTATTCATTCTCCTTTGTGACAAAGCTATTGGAAGCCACATGTACCATTTCAACATCACCCTGGCATAGTTTGGCCGGGACATCTCCAACACTGTTGCTTCAGTTGACGTTCAATATTTCCATCTGATTGGATATTTTATAAGCCGTGGGCTCTGAAGAAAACCGGATGAAACAACCCTGACCTGCTCATTTGGAGAGCAACATATATAATAATTAACCTGAAAACAGCAAAACACCATGCACGAAAAAAGTCGATGTGAATATTTACGGATGAATATTTGGGCTGTATTACTGTACTTATGGTTCCAAAAAAAAACATGATCTACCCTCTGGTAATTTAACATAGCTATTGAAAATCACCATTTTTTATGGGAAAATCCACTATAAATGGCAATTTTCAATGGCTACGTTAAATTACCAGAGGGTACTAAACGTACTAAAGGATAGCCAATTCTGGAGTGAAACAGGGCCCCACCAGGATGCGACGGGTAGACCCTGGTCAAATCCTGCTGATTTCTGAGGGCAGCACTGTATCTTCCCAAGCCTCCACCAAGCGGCCAGATGGGTCTGAAAATGAGCATACCCACATGGCAATTTCAAATATCTTGAACAGCTAAACTACGGATGGTAAAATGGTGATCAAATATGACAAAATGGTATAAGTGTGATCAAGTATGATGATAAACCATGATAAACCATGATAAACCATGACAAACCATGATAGACCATGATAGACCATGATAAACATTGAAACCATGATAAACCATGACAAACATTGATAAGTCATGATAAACAATGATAAACCTTGATATACCATGATAAAACTTGATAAACCATGATGAACCCTGATATACCATGATAAACCATGATGAACCCTGATATACCATGATAAACCATGATAAACCCTGATATACCATGATAAACCCTGATATACCATGATAAACATTGATAAAATATGATTAAGCATGATATACCATGATAAACATTGATATACCATGACAAAGCATGATATACCATGATAAACATTGATAAAATATGATTAAGCATGATATACCATGATAAACATTGATAAAATATGATTAAGCATTATATACCATGATAAACATTGATAAAATATGATTAAGCATGATATACCATGATAAACATTGATATACCATGATAAAGCATGATATACCATGATAAACATTGATAAAATATGATTAAGCATGATATACCATGATAAACATTGATATACCATGACAAAGCATGATATACCATGATAAACATTGATAAAATATGATTAAGCATGATATACCATGATAAACCATGATAAACCATTATATAATATTATATATATATATCCCATGATATCCCATGATAAACCATTTTATCCCATGATATAAACCAGTGGTTTTCCAAGGTTTTTCCCCAAGATTTCCCCCAGATCCAGTGCGAGGCACCGCTAGGAATGGTGATCTGAGCTTCTCGTCCGACTCCGGTGCACTTGGTGGGCCGATACCTGCGCTGATACTAAGGCTAGCTAGGGCGCATTTCTCCGAATTTGCGGCAAACATGAGGGGCAGCCAACAAACATCAACAAACAATCATAGTTTTTGCCATGAGATCCACTTAAATAATCTATGGAAACCACATAAACGAAATTAAAAATATCTCTATAGATCAACTGCAGTCAGCACAATTTTCAGGCTTTTCGAGGATCGCCGAGGGCCAGACTCTAGAGGCCACACGGAGTAGTCCGGAGGCCACACGTCTTGGGTGTTGGGCCCGAAGACCGTGTTCTGGTCCCTGGGACGAACTGCCATGGAAATGCCATATGAAATGCCACAAAATTGCCAAACATCAAAGTGATAAACTGCATTTTTTTGAATAAAAATATGGGTGTGTCTGAAAATGTTGTGTACCCGTAAACCCAATGGTTTTGCTGATCATTATCCCTATTAAATGGCTATAATTGGGAATATACCCAACATTTTCAGACAAACCCATATGAAATGATTGCTTTTTAAGCAACGGTTTCTGAAAAGTGTCTTGAATAGCCTCAATTTGGGATCATTTTGCAACCTCCCTGGACTGCATGGCTGTTCTCAACTCTCAACTGTCCTCTACTTCAGTGCTTGCCTTGAAGTGTGTAGTTGCAAGAAGCATCGCGGCCAACTGCGTCCAAGGGGCGTGATGACGTAGGGCAAACAGTTGTCATCGAAAACAAAGCCGCGCGGCCTTGGCTATGTTGGGGTGTTGAGTCCTACCCTCCTCCATGAATCAGCAGTGAAGTTGGATTTCTTTGTTGGACCGTTGGATTATGATAGGGATCGGAAAACAGAAACCCTGCAAGACATCTGTTCAGCATCTAACATACTAGTTGTTGTCCAGGTGTCTACATGCACAAGCAAACAGAGTGGTAAAAGTTCAGATTAGTTGGTAGCAAGACACCCATAGCAGCCCACACCATACAAACTGCAACTCATTAACTGCCTGCAACGACGAAAACCTAGAATCAACAATTTGGAGATGTAAACCACTTGCACCAATCCCTTTCAAAAGAGTGCATCATCCCAAATAGGGGTACCGGATATTTTAACGGTTATTCAACGTATAGCTATGGAAAATCACCATCTTTAATAGGCAAATCATCAAGTTTATCATCTATCAATGGCCATTTTCCATAGCTATTTAAATAACCAGAGGGTATACGTAGTATGCGGTATACCCAATGATAAACCTTTGCCAGCTTCTTTACTTCCCATCTGGAGGTTTTTCTCAATTTGGGGTAGCCCATGGTGACGACTTGGGATCCGAACCCTCGCAGAATCAGGATCCGATTGGCCAGGGGCCTGGAAAAAAAAGTTGTGGTGCCGAGTCTCCGGAGAATTCCATGAATCAAAATGGGGCTTAAATGATATAACCAAGAAGCATCGGACTACATATATATATATAGATAGATAGATAGATAGATAGATAGATAGTTATAGATATAGATATAGATATAGATATTCATATATAGTATGTGAGGATCTTACCAACAAAAAGACTGGGATATAGATTCAACCAAAAAAAGAGATAGAATTTCTAGAATCAAGAAAAAAAATGGGGGGTCGCTTAAAACTTTGCAAAACATCTTGCTCTGTACCGACCGATGACGAGGCCCGCAAGATGGCAGCCGAGGCAGGTTTTGTGGCCTGATATTGAGACTGAACTGGAAGATCAGCTGATTCGACCTTGGCCCGCTGGGGTGGTACCTGACATAAATTGATAAAGAGACGTGTATATATATATATACATTGAATATATATGTATATATATATTAGACATATATGAAAATCTATATAGAAATCTATTTTGAAAAATAAATTGAAAATACATTGGTGTATCTAACCACCAGAACTGTGCCATCTCCACAATGTACGTGAAGTTCAATTTTGGGGGTACCCTTAGCTAACCATATCCAACCATGATTCATGGTGAGCTCCTTCGTAAGTCGAAGCAAAGCGATGGCATGGATGAAAAAAATGCTGTATATATATATGTAATGTGCTGTATCAAACTATATCATATTATATCATATTGTATTTTATCTTATTATATTATGTGTCATTATATCAAATATTATATACATATTGTATTATATAATATACATTATTTGAACACTATATTTACACATTGTACACATTATGAATACATTATGAATACTATATTACTATATTATACACTATGTAATATTATATTATACTATATTACACATTACTATATATAATACTATATTACTATATAATCTTTAATATGTAATACTATATAATGAATATTATATATACTATATATTGGAGAATCCACGGGAATTCCAGGTCGCCCAAACTTCCCAGGTCGGTCATTGCGATTGGTCGCGGCCCGTTGGGCCTGGCGCCGAAAGGTCCCAGCCTACCGTAGATAGCCTTATTAATACGGGGATAAAAAGATGATAAGGGGACCGGGATAATCATATAATCATTGTATGGTTATATAAGAATTATATAACAAAAAAATATGATTGATTATGATTACTGTAATGACAATCATGATGAAATGGGGATAATCATTGATAAAAAAGTGATACTAAGGTGTTCATCAGAGGATAGTAACAATGAAACACTTCCCAATCAGGATAAAGAGGGGAGCCAATTCATGAATAGCTCACTGAAGCAGGAATTCGTTTGAAGGGAAGTTCGAATCTTTGGAAGGGATTTACTGGTGAGCTTCTGCCATGAGAAGTCCAAAAACCTTGATGAACTCTGATAGTGGCAATCCTTACTGTCCAGAACTCAGAAATCGCCCATATATATATATGGCAAATGATGGCAGTAAATTTCCCATCTTCACCATCCCCAAAGGTAAGAAAAGGTCGTGCGATAGTCATCTCAGATTTAATACTGCCAAAAAAAAACAATATCATACATACTATAACTACTTACAATATAATAATATAACTATAACTACAAATTATGAATGGGATACAATTTATGACAATTTATACAATGGGATCAATGACATTCAATAACATCTTTGGCTTGCCCCGATTGCTTTAAGGGCTCAACTTCCCCTTGGCGCCTGCGTGAGCGCCGTCAGGCGGGCATCACGCATCATGTTGTCGATCCGGAAGCCGACGGCTTGCAACTCCTGGTTCGGCACTGCCGGGTGCTCAACTTCCGCGGTTTTAAGGGATATGTAAAAAGCAGCCATTTTGTGAGTTCAACCAACGAATACCCTTTTTTTTGGGCAAGTAAAAATTTAGCTGTGTGAAGCAACAAACATTGGATTGGTTTAAGGGAAAATCTACAGGAAACCATGGTTTTTACCATCAAATATAGGGCTTTCCTGTAAATTTTCCCATCATCCAATTCTATGTTTAAAAGACTCGAGAGATCTTCCAATGGAACTCATCCAGGATAAAAATTCCACAGGTTCGCGGTCCTTGTCCAACACAGGAGTCGTTGGATAGTCCGAGACCTTGGCATAACACAAGTGATCAAACTAATTGTAGATGATTCTATTATATATTATAAAATAGTAATACTATAAGATATTATCACTTATAAATACTTATAACATATTATATAATATACAATGTACCTCTTTTGCAAGAGACGTCCGGAATGAATTGAGAAATTCCCAGCGTCAGGAGATATTCTTGATACGGTGTTCATCGTTGTCTTTTCCAACACTATCACAAAGCCGTGAAGACCCTTGAAAAGCTGTTTATTACATGAAATTGTCACACACGCACAAAATGTGTGTTTTGAGCTCCATTGTTCCCAGGCCTTTGATGCTTCCTACTCCCAGCCTCCTGCTACCAGATCTACCAGCACTAGGCCTCGAACAGCCAAGTAGGTACCGAAGGTCCACAAACCAGGATCTTGTTTCCTCGTCGGAGGATTCTGCGCAGTCATCTCCCACCTGCCATACATCAGCAAACATATTGCGCAGCCTGGTTTTCAAGATGTCTAAAAATGAAAACGACGACTTTCCGAGGGAAATGAACCACTTGCCAGTTTTTAAGATATTTGACCTCACCTTATGACATGTCTATGTGAAACTTGATGAACATGCAGTCATGATATTCACGACATGGATCAAAATGGAACAAAACAGCAATCCAAACTCATCCACAAAGGCTGCATGAGGGAACGCACGGAAGGACCTGTCGGACCATTGAATTCTGCCAGTTCAGGTATGCAATGTTTTTAAAATATGGCAATGTTCGAACATGAAATAACCATAAACAACCCATTTGAAACTGAGAGCACGGCCGAATATTTGGAAAGTAGTGATGGGGGATGATTGGAGGCTCTCTTCCGTTTAAAAAATCACAAAGTATCAACCATATAGAAAGCGCCGAAAGGTCGCATCAGCCGCCTGTAATAACCCGGTGGCATATTGATGTTGTTCACCTGTCGCGGTGCGGCGGCCGACTTCAAGTACCAAAGACTCTTAGAGCATCTTAGAGCAAAGTACCACTAAGCCATAATATATGGGATGTCATCCTTCCCATTGACTAATATTTTTCAAGATGTTTAAAACCACCAACCACTAAGGCTAAAGATCTTACTTCTAAGATTTTAAGGCATGCCGTCATGCCGTCATGCCGTCATGCCAAGATGTGAGGACTTCACTGCAACCTTGAAGCACTTGAACTCGCACGCCTTCTTTTCCTAAGTCTGTTCTTATGGAAGGTCAACTAAAGCCTCGCAACCTTTTTCAAGCCCAGAGTCTTCACAACTTCAGACTAGATTGGATGTAAACGACGTGGTTTTCTCCCATTTTGGCCTAGTAAATAATCGAAATGGATACAAAAAGGGCGCAGACAGTCATGTTGTTGGCTACTAACCCCCACTCCAACTAATATCCACCATAAATCAAATCGTTAGCTTTTTAAACCTGTAGAATATCTCCCCCCCAGGCGACTGCCTTCAAGGTGATTTGAGGTGCTCCATCTGACCTCAGAGGGTCCAACCGCTAGCCCAACTCCTGGTGGTAGATCAACAAGATCAACATGGATATTTCATATAGTGACATGGATATTTCATGATATTTCATGGTGGTTATCCCTATGATATTGGAATAAAATTCCATTGGTTTTCAATATGCTTATCCTCAAGACAGCGGGGAAACCTCGATGAAAAGATTGGTCAAAATCTGTGGATCCGCACGCGACTTGGTAGACGCAAATGAGATCCGTGGGGAAGGGTGCAGATTCTGCGGGCGACGATTCGTGCGGTGCTGTTTCGTAGTGCTTTCCGGCGACACATTCACAAATCCTTTTCTGTTTATTCCAGTTGTGTTATCATCAGATTGTTTGAAGCTTCTTGAAGCTTGTTGAAGAATTTTGAAGATAGATAAACTAAATAAGAATCTATCATCTATCATAAAAAATAAAATGTTGAAGATAGTCAAATAACCTTTTATCACATCATCCCAATTTTTTGCCATGCCTGTTCACCTGGTCATAGCGAGTACTTGGGTCTGAATTGCAGGCCACACATATGAGGGCTTCTGGTCAACTTCAGCACTCCTCTGCTTACAGCTCTAAAATTGGCAAAACTATAAGGAAAAATCACCCAAGACCCTGATTTTAGATATAGGTCTAACCTAAAAATCATCATTTTACCTGGTTTTTTCTGTCCATATCAAACCATATCTAGCCATATTAAAGTGGTTTCCAATCCATGGGGGTACCCCTGTTCATCATCCATTTGTAGATGGGATTTTCCATGACATCAACCTACCAGCTATTGGGGTACCATATCAGACCTGGCAGCGCCACCAAGGTGTCGGGGCAGGTGAAGGTAAAGCCAGTGGTCAGGTCGCTGCCTCGGCATGGCTTCGATGGTTCATAGCTATGGATTGGTTTGTTGGGGAAAATCTTAACCGGAAACCCATGGGATTTTCCCATGAAATCTGGGGTTTTCCTGTAAATATTCGCTATCCTCTATATATTTACCATCTGGTTATTTAACATAGCCATGGAAAATCCCGTATAAATGGAGGTTTCTAGCTCGGAAAATTCACTATAAATGGGCCATCTATACCATGGCTATGTTAAATAACCAGAGGGTAGATCGTATGATATTCATAATCATGATAATACTATGATGTTATTATATGTATATGTTACCAGTATTGAACAGTTATGGTTACTTGACTATGACTTATTAACAAATAGTATATGATAGAATATAGAATATCACTATTCAGCATAAAAAAAAAATATTGAGTGACTATGAGTAATGCAGTTTTGGTTTTTGTAATCATAGTTATGGTCAATAATTAATCCATATGTAATTGAATATTAACAGTTATGATTGATCAATGATGGTTATCATGATTAATATAGTTGACCATAGTTATGCTCAACATGATAGCTATTGTTATGATTATAGCAATAGTTTTGGTGAGTGTGCTCATGGTTAATAATCGATAGTTATATGGATATGATTTCTATGATTAAAAACATAAGATTAATATTTATAGTTAATCATGATTATGCTAGGTTTATTATTAATTTCATAACAATGGCTGCACATAGCTATGATTAGTATGTCATGGTTGTGAAAATTATCTTCGAACCATGTTAAACCATGTTGAACCCTGTTAAACCATGTTAATCCACAATGAGCATCATGGATTACAATATGTTGCCCAATATGTTGTAGTATATATATATTATATATAACGTATATATCTATATATTTGGCTGAACCTTAGATAAGGGTAGAGTGTGGCTGATGACACAATGTATCATAGCGGTCTAAAGGGGTACACTACGAGTGGTCTGTAACCACTGAACAAGGCGCAACTTATTGGATCATGTGGCAATGTAGTAGGGAAGTTAATATTTCAATGACTCAAACTAAAATACTCAAGCATATTCCAGCGAACGGGCGAAACTCCCCATTGCTGTACGAGTAGAAAGGGGAGCAAAAACTCTTGACTTTACACGGCACAATTGGCAACTTGACTCGGAAAGGAATGAACAAGTGTTTCAACGCAGTTGGATTGCTAGGGTGACTATTCTAAATTCAAAATGATATGTTGCCTACCAATCATCACCGCAGAATCCAGCAACATGGCGCACCTTTTCAGACTAGACTTAGAGCCCAATCACCCAAGACATCCTGCTTTCAGTGTTTGATCAGGCGAACCCAGAAAAGCTGATTGATTTCAAAGCCCAAATGTCGACCTGTTGGGATCCTCTTTCTTTGCAAAATATTCGCTATCCTCTATATATATATATACCATCTGGTTATTTAACATAGCCATGGAAAATCATCATTTTTAATAGGTAAACCATCTATAAATGGGCCATTTTCCATGGCTATGTTAAATAACCAGAGGGTAAATGCAAAATATTCAGGACTTTCATGGATTTCGTGCATTTGAGATACCCTAAAACAGGCCCACAAAGTATGTAGGTACGATACATCCACTTCAGTTCTATCGCTTTGACATCCAAAATAGAAACAAGTCAGGCAAGCCCACGTATTATCTGGATGTATCTGGGTGATCTAGAAGTGGGGGGTTCCATAAATGGGGGTACCCCAAATGGATGATTTATATTGATTATAATGGAAAATCCTATTAAAATGGAATCTAGAAGTGAGTTTACCAACTTATGATCGACTCACCGTTGGATCTCTGAGCACTCCAACCCTTCACCACGATACCAGTGTTTGCAGTCAACGTGGTCACCTGTTGCGATTTGTGACTCTGACAGGTAAAAACAACAGGAAATGATGATAATTATGATTATCTATGCAGCTATATGCAGCTTAAATAATCTAAATCTGGGTTTCAACACCCCTAACAATGGCATGATCACTGAAAATGACGACATAAAATGGTGTGGTTTATAATTTTGACCCATGCCAATTGCATGGTCAGTTTACCCAAAATCCGCCTCGAACATCCCATGGATGAGAGTCCGCCGGGATATACCATAGCCACTGATTACTCAACATCCACATGGCAGTGTGTCAAAACCAATAGTCCCCCTGGTGAACCCCAAGTCATAGCTGGGATTTATGGATGTTCATCCCACTAAAAATGTATCTATAGGTATTGACCCATAGCCACATGAAAAATATTCTGGTGAACCCAATGGTAAACCATCCCTAGTTGTCAATGAAATTGGGCCCATGTATGCCCCGATCTGTGGGATTGTGACACCAGTCATGCTTGGTTTCTGGATTGATGTGTAAACCCAATCATAAACCATCCCATTAACAAACCAGTTGGGAGTCATTTTGAATCATCCCAAATAAGGGTATATAGTATACACATGTATATACCCAATAGAAATATATCATAAACTTCCATTCGGGATGGTTTTTTATACCCATTCACCATAATTATTCGCCATAAACTGCGTCACGTGTCACGTCCCCCCTCAGGTCCCCTCACTGTCTGCACTGCGAACTCGATCCGATTGTCCTGGAAATGGAGGTTGAAGATGTGACATCAACTATCAATGGGGGATGTGAAAAATTGTTGCATTTGATTGTTGGAGGCTTTTTGGGGTTTTAAATATTGGTTTTATTTCGATGCACCAACAGAAAATTAGATCAGAAAGTAACAATAATGGAGGACATCACATAACATATATGTTTATCGACAATCCTATTAACCTCCATTTCAGCCACACGAGGATCAACAGCAGGTGATCTGAACAGCGGAGATCCCTTTCAGTGTTCACATCTACTCGCTTGACAGCGACTCGCTTCTCTATCTTCTGTAGGCTTTGAGCTTGTTCAACCCCTTGAAAAGGGGATTTGACAACAAGATGAAAACTTGTGTTTCTGATTAGCATACAAATAGCTACCTATCTATATATGTATATACACATTATATAATACATATGTAATCATGTGATATCATATGTATATGTCTTCTTATGTCTGTAACTGTATGTATTTTTATATCCAGACATGATTTTATATCGGCGGTCCGCATAGTTCACCAGGTTAGTGCTGGAATAGACCTCACGGTGGCACCGGAAATCCAAGCCCCCAGGGGGTTTTCCGGCAGAGCAGTCGAGCGATGTGGGGGTTTCCAGTCGATATGGGGGTACCAGAAAAAGGATGGTTTACAATGGAAAATAACACGTTAATGTTTCACACATATATATATATATTGCAGCTGATCATGACTATGTGTTGAAAAATTCTGTCCTATAATATCGTGAAAACAATGATTCTTTGATAAATGCATATATAATTATAAATGTGGATGTATCTTTGTCTGCACGTTTGTTTTGTATATCATTTAAATATGCAATGATAGGATATATAGTTTTGCCCAAGCATATAGATACATAAAATCACAAAAGCAGATATTAAAATCATACATTAAAGGTAGGCGAAGGTACACGCGGCTGCCTAGCTACCTCTCAATTTACATATCACATTCAGGTAGCGGCGTCATGGGTCTGACCCTCCAGCAACATTCTCTGGAGGATTTTGCGGGATTCTCGTGATGCTTTGGCTATACTCCTGGAGCATCCTCGAACAATATGTTGGGAACAGCCCAGCATGTTGAGTGCTTGACTTGACCCACATCAGCGCAGATACAACATCCCAGTGTTTGAAACGTTAAGTGCCAGACCTCCGCATTCGTCAGTGCAGCAATTGATGGTGCTTCTACGACGTTGGCAAAACGCCTGACGGGCTGACTTCAGGGATTCAGCTCTCAACGATGGCAGCTGCTTCCCATTGGTTCCCCATTGCAGCAGGGCAAAGACAGTGAAGACGTGACACTGAAATACCTGGGAAACAACCCGGTGATTTGTAGATGATAAACCTGGTTGTATATATTTTTTCCAATCTGATTTTTCATTTAGATGATGTGTTCCCTTTCCAGATGGTGATGTTCCGTTTCCAAAGAAAGTAACTCATTCGAATACTACTTCCATGCAAAACTGCACGGAAGATTTGCTGGCGGTCAACCCACCAATTCCATGCCCCACCTCTGTTGGATCACGTTGCTTTTGTAGCCGAACCTGGCTAGACTACGTCTTGCCAGTTGTTTTACGGGGATTGCCCTGTGGCCATTGATATTGGCAATGGAGAATGACCATGTCATTATATGATAGTCTAAATATTGTATATTATATTTGCACGGCACATTGATAGGAAAACTACAAATTCTGTGTGTTTTCGAAGGTACAACGCTCTGATGGATGGGAAGGCATCTCTCCAACCAAGAAACAAGAGAAGGTAGAGAAATATATTGAGCTTTTCTGATGTTCATTCGGAAAAACTCAACTAACCTCTTCCACCAAGTCGAGATGAGCGATTCCGATCGACTCCTGAGCAGCTCTCTTCCATCTTAACGTTGCGTTCCACAATGGGCTACAGAATTGAGGAACTTGTATTCCAGTAATATAGAGTGTTTCTCAAGATCAATTGAGGTACCCCTAATATCACCAGATCACACCGGAAATCCTGGCCCCGGAGAACTCCTCAGCCCAAATCTGCCAAGCGACTCAATGAAGAAGGAGTTGGCCGCAATCACCGGATTGAAGTCCGGCCTCAACAAGCCAGGTCGTTGCAACTTATTTTGGGATACTTTACCAATGTTTTTTTTGAGATATTTCATGATATTTCCGGATATGGTTGGGAGATGTTGGGAGATTTCAGGACATATTTGGCATATGTTTTGGCATATGGGTATGGGTCAAAATTAGGTACCCCTATGTTATTGGATGGTTAATACTAAACTAGACTAATTCACATCTGTGGTCCCCTGGGCTCCTAGGTCTTCCATTTTGACCCACATCCATTTGGATATGTTATGCCACCAGATATTTTGGGATGAAGGTTGTGGATGGTCGTTCCGACAATGCAAGAGACATCAAGAGACCAGGAAAACCCATGGAAATTGCGTTCGCGATCTGCGATCCCGCGAGGCGTTCTTAGAAGTCCGGGACGTAAGTGCTACACGTCTGGATGTGACGTGGGTGTGTCTGAACATATATATATATATGTGTGTGTAATTATATGTATATATATATGTGTAATTATATATATATATATATGAAATTATGGTATAAACCTTATAAACCATTATAAACCATGGTAGAACACTAGATGTATGAATGAACATATATGAAAATATGGTATCCCATGGTATACCTGATTTAATCCTAACCACTAAACCGGTGCCGTTGAGGCCTGAAAAAGACCCAGAAATCAACGGCAGATGCTCACTCTTGGTAGGAAAATGTAGGAAACATTAGGAAACCATTCCATTGTGGGATACCCTCTGGTAATTTAACATAGCTATTGAAAATGGCAATGTATAGTTTCCCATTAAGCATGGTGATTTTCCATAGTTATGTTAGTTTACCAGAGGGTACCTAATGCCCAACTTGACCGATACCCTATGTGGCACAAGCTCACTCGGATTCACCCAGCCGAAGACTTGAGTCCCAGCGGACAGTCCCAGGCCAAAACTTGCCGGAGCCCATTCTATTAGCTGGTAAACCAATGGGTAGCTTATGTAAATTCATGTAAATTCCCTCAAGCCAGATATCCCCATTTTCCTGTGGATTCAGTGGATTCGTGGATTGCATCCCCATGACTGATGTTGAAACGCCACCCCTTGGCGGGTCCAAGAGGCACGTCGCAGCGCGCCCGGAAGCCGTATTGTGTGTTTCCCTTAAGGCTCAAAGTGTTGAAAACCTCGGGTTTTTCCCGGATCGGTGTGGGGAGGACGTTACGTTGTGACGTTGTTTGGTTAAGGGAAATCAAAGTGCAGATGTGTACATGATAGCATGGTATGTGTGTGCGCGCGATAATATGTGCACATACATGTACAACAATATATATATATATATGTATGTATATGTATATATATATATATGTGTGTGTTATTCATTTATACATAATAAGTCATGATAAATCATAGTAATGACATCTAATAACATACACAATAGTCGTCCATAATTGTCATACTAATATGTGCGCAAACAATCTCATATGTACATATATGTATCTATATGTCACACATGTATACACATGTGCACATATGAAAAATGCAACGCAACTTGCAATGGGGTCCTCTTGAAGTCACCTTGATCTGAGACTGCGACCATCTGATTCTGGTTCAAAATCGTCGGGAGACGCGGCCAATCCTGGCAGAGGTGCTGGGTGGTGCCCAAAAAAATTGATCCTGGCAGTATGATACGTACTCTATCAAGAGGTAGATTAAGGTATTTCCTTGTATTCTATCATGTATCATGTATGGCCTCTCCTTGTGAG